TAGGTGCCATTGAGTCAGTTTGGAATCACAGCCAACTCTATGTACAACAGAAAACAACACTGCCCAGTCCTGTGCCATCCTCACAATCGTTGCTATGTTTGAGTCCATTTTTCCAGTCACTGTGTCAATCCATCTCAATGAGGGTCGTCTTCTTTTTCACGGACCCTCTACCTTCCCAAGCATTATGCCCTTCTCCAGTCTGGTTCCTGCTGGTACATGTCCAAAGTACATCTCGCTTCTAAGAAGCATTCTGGCTGTACTTCTAAGATTACTTTGTTCTTCTGGCAGTCCATGGTATGTTCAATGTTCTTCACCAACACTGTAATTCAAATGCATCAATTCTTCTTTAGTCTTCTTTATTCATTGTCTGGCTTTCGAATGCATATGAGGCAACTGAAAATACCATGGCTTGGGTCAGACACACTTTAACATCCTAGTCCTGAAAGTGATATCTTTACTTTTTAACACTTTACAGAGATCTTTGGCAGCAGATTTGCTAAATGCAATATGTCATCTGATTTCTTGAGTGCTGCTTCTATGGGTGTTGATTATGGATTCAAGTAAAATGAAATCCTTGACCACTTCAATATTTTCTCCATTTACTGATGTTGCTATTGGTCCACTTGTGAGGATTTTTGTTTTCTTTATGTTGAGGTGTAATCCAGATGAAAGTTGTAGTCTTTGATCTTCATCAGTAAGTGTGTCAAATCCTCTTTGCCTTCAACAAGAAAGGTTGTATCATCTGCACATTGTGGGCTGTTAATGAGTCTTTCTCTAATCCTGATTGATGCAGCATTTTTCTTCATGTAGTTAAGCTTCTCAGATTATTTGCATAGCATACAGATTGAATAAGTATAGTGAAAGGATACAAGTCTGATGCACACATTTCCTGATTTTAAACTATGCAAAATCTCTTTATTCTGTTTGAACAAATGCCTCTTGGTCTGTGTACAGGTTCTATATGAGCACAATTAAGTGTTCTGGAAGTCCCATTCTTCCCAGAGGTATCCATAATTTGTTATAATCTACACAGTAATATGCCTTTTCATAGTCAATAAAACATAGGCAAACATAGTTCTAGCATTCTCTGCTTTCAGCCAAGATCTATCTGACATCAGCAATGAAACCCCTCATTCCACTTCCTCTTCTGAATCTAGTTTGATTTTTGCCACTTTCCTGTTGATGTACTGCTGCCATTGTTTTTGAATTATCTTCAGCAAAATTTTACTTGTTTTTTATATTAATAATATTCAATAATTTCTGCATTCTGTTGGATCACCTTTCTTTGGAATGAGCACAAATGGGAATCTCTGCCAGGTGTATGGCCAGGTAGCTGTCTTCCAAATTTCTTGGCATAGACAACTGAGTTCTTCCAGCTTTGCATCCATTTACTGAAACATCTCAATGAGTATTCCATCAATTCCCGACGCCTTGTTTTTCACCAATGCCTTCAGTGCAGCTTGGATTTCTTCCTTCAGTACCCTCCATTTTTGATCATATGTTCCCTCCTGAAATGGTTGAAAGTCAACCAGTTCTTTTTGGTTTGGTGACTGTGTATTCCTTCCATCTTCTTTTGATGCTTCCTGCACTTCAATATTTTCAATCTTTCAGTATTGTAATTTGAAGCTTGAATTTTTTCTTCAGTTCTTTCAGCTTGATAAATGCTGAGTGTATTCGTTCCTTTTGGTTTTCCAGGTCTTTACATGTTTCGTTATAATACTATACTTTGTCTTCTTGAGCTTCCTTTGAAATCTTCTGTTCAGAACTCTTCCTTCTTCATTTATTCCATTCACTTTAGCCACTCTCCATTGAAAAGTATGTTTCAGAGTCTCTTCTGACACACGTTTTGGTCTTTTCTTTCTTTCCTACCTTTTTAATATCACACCACCGTATGACAAACTGATAGACAAGTGGTAGAATGTGTAATTACAGATTTATTTTTTCACTCATTTATTTGTCTTCTTAATCAATGAGCAATAGGAACTACATTGATTTTGTTTATTGCATTATGTCCAACACCTAGCACAATGCCTAGTACATTGTACATGTTCAATGGATCCTTGTTGATTTTATTAATGAAGTTGCAAGAGGATTTAGAAATGCTTGACAGCATGTTGAGTTCAAGAAGTTAAGGATGGATGAAACATAAAAATTGTAGGTCAGTAGGAAGTAGAGTGAGGTGAAGCAGAGGGGTTGCCAAGGGGCTGGATCATGAATGAATGTTACATCTTCCAAGATAATTTGGATTTCATTCTGTTGGGCAATGGATAACCACTCAGTATCTTTAAGATGTGGGTGGTGGTTTTTGTGACATGATGACACTTACACTTTAGAAAGATTGGAGAATAAACTAAAATGGAGGTGAGACAAACATTTAAGGTATTGTTGCAGTAATCTAGTTGAGAAACAATGACTTCTAAATTGTGGCTGTGGAGTGGATGGAAGCAGCCCTGATGGGAAAATGTTTAAATTCTTGGCTGCTAACCAAAGGTTTCATGGTTCAAACTCTCCCAGCAACTCTGCTGGAGAAACACCTAGTAGTTTTCTCCCATTAAGCCTAGAAAATTTTGTGGGGCAGTTCTACTTTTACATGGGGACACTATGAGTCAAAAATGAACTAGATGGCACCTAACAACTGTGGGGATGGAAAAGCAGGAAAGGTTGAGAGTTATTAGACACAGAAGCTGGAGGAGGGCAGGGCACCCATGAAAAAAGGAGGAATCCAGGATAATGCCTAAGGTTTTTCTTTAGGCAGCTATATGTTAATTGAAACATTACTGCTCTGGTTATCTAGTGCCACTCTGACAAGAATATACCACAAATGGGATGGCTTGAATAAACTGAAGTTTATTCTCTTACAGTTCGGGAGGCTGGAAGTCCTGAGTTCAAAGTGCCAGGCTCTAGGGGCTGGGTGAAAACCCTTCAAACTTGGGCTTCAGCTCTGCCTCCTGCTCTTGGCCCACTGAAGCTAGAGGCTTTTCTTCACTCAGGAAGCTACTGGCTGCTGAGACTGACAAGGCCAAGGTTGACAAATAAAAAGGCACAGTCCCGATGTTACCAAAGCACACAGGAAATCATTAATTCAAGTCTATTGACAGTCCCAAGGTCCACAGAGCATGGCAGGCTGCTGAACAATGACATGGCTACAAGTAGGGTTCAAGCATGCCATAAGACAGAGACCATTCCCAAAGCTGTTTCTTATATATGGGAAGCAGACCACATGCCCAAAAGCAGCTACTCAGCGCTCACAGTAGATTCCACCATGGAGTTGATTGCCATTCTCATCATGGGTAATACTACATCCAGCTGCCCAGCCACTCAAACAGGCCTAGCCAAGCTGACACACAAATTTCAACACCACAACCACCAAACATAGAGATTAGAGGAAGGAGGTGAGATTTGGGTGGAGTGGGTTGAGATGATGTTTTATTATGGACATTTGTAAATTTCAATTTTCTCTGTGGACTTTCAGATTGAGTTATCTCGCAGACTTATTAGCTCTCAGGAAAGAAATCTGATCTCAAAATGTAATTTTAAAAATCATCACCAAAATGAGTATAATTGAAACCCTGAGTATGGATGAGATCATTTTAGAAGAGCACATAAAAGAATAATAGAAGAGAACTGACATAGCAAAAATGAGGTACACATAATATTTAAGAGAAAAGTAATGTGATTAGCGTGCACGCACACACACACACAATAGGAGAAGCAGCCAAAGATGAGGAATAAGGAAAAATAACATAGAAACCTAGGAAAAAATTCATATTTCTTTCTTTAGAAAGATGGCATAGTCAACATTAAAAATATTTCAGAGAAGCCAAGTACTTAGTGCCACTCTGACAAGAAATATACCACAAATGGGTTGTTTATGCTTACATTTAACAAACAGGAGTTTATTCTTACAATTTGGAGGCTTTAAGTCCAAGTTCAAAGTGCCAAGCTCTAGGGGCTGGATGAAAGCCCCTCAGCCTTGGGCTTCAGCTCTGCCTCCAGCTTCCAGCCCACTGAAGCTAGAGGCTTTTCTTCACTCAGACAGGTGCTGGCTGCTGAGGCTGCCAAGCCCAAGGTTGACAAGTGAAAAGGCACAGTCTCGATATTACCAAATCACACGGCAGGCCATTAATTCAAGCCTATCGTAAGTCCCAAGGTCAGCAGAGCATGGCAGGCTGCTGAACGACACAGCTACATGCAGGGTTCAAGGTGCCATAAACTAGAGACCCTTCCCCAAGGCTTCTGCTCATATACAGGAAGCAGACCACATTCCCTAAGGCAGCTACTCAGCTGCTCACAGTAGATTCCACCATGGAGTAGATTACCAGTCTCATCATGGGGAATACTACATCCATCTGCCCAGCCACTCAACCAGGCCCAGCCAAGTTGACACATCAACTGAATTGCCGCACCAAGTAAGAGAAAGACTTAAAAGTATCCATTGCATTTACTCAAGATGTAATTAGTGACCTTACCAAAGTAATTTCACTGGTATGTTAGGAACAGAAGTCTAATTGCTGGGAACTGGGAAGGTGAATGGAAGGATGAGTAGAGGAGATCTTAATTATTAGCCATTTGGTTGAGAGAGAAAGAATGGATAACATAGAAAGGGGCATCAAATTTAAGGACATTTTTTTTGATAGATTATAGTCATTTAGTCCTTGAGAACAGCAGTGCTATCAAATAGTGTTTGCTATCCCCCATGTTGCCTTGTACACATGAGGCTAGTAAATAACTGTGCATTGAAATAAGTGCCAAATCTTTAGATCCAAAGACAAGCAACAAAAACAGATTCTAAAACTCCAGTGACACTTGATTTACCTACCATTATTGTATCATCTATGTCATCCATTGTTTTCCCTTTCTAGTGGAAGGAAAATCACAAGTTGACTTCTCATCCAATCTCTAAGGATCTTGAAGAAGATGGCCCTCCAACCATATATAACAAAGCATCAGGAAATGGATTCAATATCAGCATGGACGACCAATGAGGTAAATTGACTTACTTTGACTTTTTTTCAGGACTGTCCACATCATCATAGATTATAACTTCCTGAGACCTAAATTCTAGGGTCAAGATAAGATTAAAATAGTCCATTATTGGGTATGGCTTATAAAATCCTTGGCTTTTCAAATTATACACAATTACCTAATTATCTAGGTGCATCTCCAAGTCTGTTTTACTAAAATCTGATCTTTTATTACAAGTATCTTTATAAATCCAATCTTTATTTGTCTTTGTTTCCTTTCTTTTTTTTTAACTGTGATTTTGGTGAAATTTTACAGAGCAGATCTGCTTTCAATTCAACATTTCCTACACATTTTGTATCATGATACTGGTTACAATCTTCGCAATGTAACAACTCTCTTTCCATTTCTTCCCTTTCCCTGTGTTTTTCTATACATTCCTGCCTCCTTACCTTTCTCCCTGTGAAAAAGCTGCCCTTCTGATCTCTCATGGTTGACTTTTCTAAGGAGTGTATCTCCCTGGTGTAACTGTTCAGCTTGTAGGCCTGTCCATTGTTTGACTGAGAGTTAAGCCAAGGGAGATGAGTTTAATTCCAGGCCCAAAGAGTAAATAGAATGCTTAGTTGTGGGGATTTTACCAGTCTCTATCTGACCAGTAATCCTGATCTTTTTTATGTTTTTGGATTTTGTTCCACATTTTTATCTTACTCTATCCAGGCTCTCCAATTCTGATCCCTTTCTGAGTGATTGGTGTTGGTGGCTAGGCACTATCTACTTCTTCTCAGTCTCAGAGTCAAGTAGGCTGTGGTTCCAGTGGTCCGTTCATCCCTTGGACCAGTTGTTTTCAAGCATCTTCGATTTTTGTCACTCTTCTTTGCTCCGGATGAGGAGAGACCAAAAGTCACATCTTAGATGGCTGCTCACAAGCTTTTAAGACCCCGGTCACTAATCACCAAAGTAGGATGTAGAACAATGTTTTTGTGTACTATGTTGTGCCAATTGAGTTTGATGTCCCCTACAACCACAGTCCTGAGACCACAGGCCCAGCGACTCACTCCCTCAAGGTGCTTGGTTGTGGCAAAGAAGTTATCCTAACTTTGTCTCCTGTTAACTCCATGATATATATGGACATTTTTATAGCACATACAAATATATATGTAGAAATATTATCTGTAAAACCTATATATGATCATGGGTATATTCCCATTTGCCTACCCATACCTGATCATCTTGCCTCAGTACCTATGTTTCCATTTGTAGATGAGTGTTTGTTATTACTGATAACGCAATCCTGTGTATATAATACTATTTACCTGTTTTGTTGTACCTCTTGTAAACCTCTTTGTGTCTTCCCTTTCCTTAGTGATATTGTGCTGGTCACACTCTTTTGCTATATTGCCTTTCCCTTCACCCAAATCAACATGTGTCTCAACTAGCCAGCAATTTTCCCTCCCTTTCACCCCCCCCCCATTCCTTGTAAGCAAAAAGGAAGATTTGCTTCCCTGTGTAAACTACTCCCTGACTTTTTATATTAATGGATTCATACAATATTTGTCCTTCTGTTAGTGACTTATTTCACTTAGCATAATGCCTACCAATAATTGGAAAATATGGCCTTGGTGATAGAAATGTTGCCAGAGATGGCATAAAATAATTTTGTAAGACCAAGGACTTATTCATTGCAAATACCTTTTTTCAACAACATACAAAGCAGCTATCCATGTGGACATTACCAGATGGAATACAGAGGAATCAGATAGACCACGTTTGTAGAAAGAGGCAATGGGAAAGCCCAGTATCTTTAGCCAAAACTAGGCCAGGAGCTGATTGTGGACCAGTCCATCAACTAGTCATATGCAAGTTCAAGTGGAATCTGAAGAAAATTAAAACAAGTCTATCAGAGCCAAAATATGACCGTGGTTATATCCCATCTGAATTTAGAGATCACCTAAAGAACAGATTTGATACACAGAACACCAGTGACTGAAAACCAGATGAATTGTGGGATGACGTCAAGTACATAATCCATGAAGAAAACAAAGATCATTAAAAAGACAGGAAAGGAAGAAAAGACTAAAATGGATGTCAGAAGAGACTCTGAGACTTGTTCTTGAATGGATATTAGCTAAAGCAAATGGAAGAAATTACAAGATAAAAGAGCTGAACATAAGATTTCAGAGAGCAGCTCAAGAAGACAAAGTCAATTATTATAATGAAGTGTGCAAAGACCTGGAATTAGAAAACCAAAAGGGAAGAGCCACTCAGCATTTCTCAAGCAGAAAGAACTGAATAAAAAAATCAAGGCTTGAGTTGTGATATTGAAAGTTTCTATGGACAAAATATAGAATGATGTGGGAAACATCAAAAGAAGATGAAAGGAATACACAAAGTCACTATACAAAAAAGATTTGGTTGATATTCATCTATTTCAGGAGGTTGTATATGACCAAGAACCTATGGTATTGAAGGAAGAAGTCAAAGCTGCACTGAAGGAATTGGTGAAAAACAAAGCTCCAGAAATTGACAGACTGCCCATTGAGATGTTTCAACAAACAGATGTCATGCTGGAGGGATTTACTTGTCTATGCCAAGAAATTTGGAAGACAGCTACCTGACCAATTGACTGGAAGAGATCTATATTTGTCCTATTCTAAGGGAAAATGACCCAACAGATTGTGGAAATTATCAAACAATATCTTTAATATCACATGCAAGTAAAATCTTGCTGAAGATAATTAAAAAATGGTTGCAGCATTATATTAACAGGAAACTTCCAGAAATGTAAGCTGGATTCAGAAGATGATGTGGAATGAGGGATATCATTGTTGATGTCAGATGGATCTTGGCTGAAAGCAAAGAATACCAGAAAGATGTTTATTTGTGTTTCATTGACTGTGCAAAAGCATTTGACTGCATGGATCATAACAAATTATGGATAATATAGGAGAATGGGATTTCCAGAACACTTAATTGTGCTCATCAGGAACCTGTACATAGACCAGGAAGCTGTTGTTTGAATAAAATGAGAGGATACTGTATGGTTTAAAATCAGGAAGGGAGTGCACTGGGGTTGTATCCTTCACCATACTTACTCAATCTGTATGCTGAGCAAATAATGCGAGAAGCTGGACTATATGAAGAAGAACATGGCATCAGAATTGGAGGAAGACTCATTAACAACCTGAGATATGCACTTGCTCCCTGAAAGTGAAGATGACTTGTAGCACTTACTGATGAAGATTAAAGACTACAGTCTGCAGTGTGGATTACACCTCAACATAAAGAAAACAAAAATCTTCACAACTGGACCAATAAGCAGCCTCAAGATAAATGGAGAAAAGATCGAAGTTGTCAAAGATTTCATATCACTTGGTTTCACAATCAACAACAATGGAAGCAGTACTCAAGAAATCAGAAGACGCATTGCACTGGGCAAATCTGCTGCAAAAGACCTGTTCAAAGTGCTGAAGAGCAAAGATATCTTTTTGAAGACTAAGGTGTGCCTAAACCAAGCCATGGTATTTTCAGTAGCCTCATATGCATGTGAAAGCTGGACAGTGAATAAGGAAGACCAAAAAAGAATTGATGATTTTGAGTTGTGGTGTTGGCAAAGAACACTGGGAGTACCATGGACTCCTAAAAGAACTAACAAATCTGTTCTAGAAGAAGTGCAGCCAGAATGCTCATTGGAAACTAGAATGGCCAGTCTTTGTCTCACCTACTTTGGTCATGTTGTCAGAAGGGACCATTCCCTAGAGAAGGATATCATGCTGGTAAAGTGGAGTCAGTGAAAATTGGGAAGGCCCTCAACAAGATGGATTGACATAGTGCCTGCAATGATGCACTCAGGTATGGCAAAGATTGGGAGGGTGGCACAGGACCAGGCAGTGTTTCATTCTGTTGTACATAGGGTCACTACGAGTCAGAGCTGACATGACACCACCTAACAACAACAGCAACAATGTCCACTAAGTTCATCCACATTACGAGGTGATTCATGGATTCTTCATTATTTTTTAATGTTGCATAGTATTCATTGTGTGTATGTGCTATAGTTTGGTTATCCATTCACCTGTTGATGGGCACTTTGATTGTTTCCCTCTCTTTGCTATTGTGAATAGTGTTGCGATGAATATATCTATTTATGTACATATATCTATTTATGTTCCAGACCTGACCTCTTTAGGATATATTCCTAGTAAAGGGTTTACTGAATGAAATGGTATTTCTATTTCCAACATTTCAAGGAAGTACCGTACCCTTTTCCACAGTGGTTGTACCATTTTACAGTTCCAATAACAGTATATGAGAGTTCTAATCAGAAGGAAGGTTGGGCAATCCTACTTCTGTAGTGATACTGCCTCGGAAACCCAAGGAGGGGTCACTATGAGTCGGGTTTGACTCGACAGCACATAGCAACAACAACAACAACAACAACAATCTCTCCAAACCCACACCAGCATGTTAGTTTCTGCCCTGTTGAACTTTGCTATTATTGTCGGGGTTGAGTAATATCCCATTGTTCTGATTTGTCTCTCTCTAAGGAGCTCTAGTGGCATAGTGCCTAAGGCATCTGACTGCTAACCAGAGGCTCGTGGTTCAAATCCACCAGTTATTCCTTGGAAGGAAGATTGGGCAATCTACTTCTGTAGTGCTACCACCTTGGAAACCCAAGGAGGGGTCACTATGAGTCAGATCTGACTCGATGGCAGTGAGTGAATGATTGTGAGCTTTTCTTCATGTGTTTGCTGTCTGTCTGAATTTCTTCTTTGGTGAAGTGTCTGTTCATGTCTTTTGCCCATTTTTGAACTGGATTGTTTGTCTTTTTGATGTTGAGGTGTTGAAATTTTCTATAAATTTTAGAGGTAAGTCCATTGTTGGATATGCCATGACCAAATATTTTTTTCCAATATGTAGGTTCTCTTTTTACTCTTTTGAAGAAGTTTTTTTGATGTACTTAAGCATTTAATTTTTAGAACGTTTCAGTCATCTAGTTTATCTTCTGCTGTTTGTGCATTTTTGGTTATGTTTGATAGTCTGTTTATGCCATAAATTAGGGCCCCTAAGATTGTTCCTATTTTATCTTTGATAAACTTTTTAGTTTGGGTTTTTACATTTAGTTCTTTGATCCATCTTGAATTTGTTTTTGCGTATGGTGTGAGGTATGAATCTTCTTTCATTTTTCTGCAAATGGATATCTAGTTGCCTGTACCATTTGTTAAAGAGACTATCTCTCCCTCATTTAATGAGTTTTGGCCCTTTGTCAAAGGTCAGCCATCCATAGGTGGATGGATCTATTTTTGGACTCTCAATTCTGTTCCACGGGTCTATGTGTCTATCACTGTACCAACACCAGACTGTTTTGACTACCATGTCTGTATAGTAGGTTTTGAGTTGAGGGAGCATGAGACTTTCTACTTTGTTTTTCTTCCTCTGTAGTGCTTTGCTTATCTGTGCTCTCTTTCCACATAAAATCAGTGATGGTTTGTTTTTTCCATGTTCTTGAAGAATGTTGATGGGATTTTGATTAGGATTATATTGAATCTAAAAATTGCTTAGGGTAGTATTGACATTTTCACAATATTCAGTCTTCATATCCATGAACATGGTATGTACTTCCATTTATAGAGGTCTCTTATAGTTTCTTGAAGTCATGTTTTGTAGTTTTCCTTGTATAGGTCTTTTGTGTCCCTGGTAAGACTTATTCCTAAATATTTTATGTTTCTGGTAGCTGCTATAAATAGTAATGCTATTCTTATTTCATTTTTAGAAATCTCTTTGTTGATGTAGAGGAATCCAACTGATTTTTATATGTTGATCTTGTATCCTTCCACCTTTTTGAATTTTTTCAATTAGTTCCAGTAGTTTCCTTAATCTCTCTTTGTCTTTAGAGATAAGAAACATTACATATAAACTTACAGACATATTTTAGCCTTGTGTGTAGTACATGAGATGTGAAAAAATAAAAAATAAAATAAAACCCAAAAACTTACAGTCACAAGTGCAGTTCATCATAACTCAAATATGTCCTAAGTTAGAGACTATTTGTACAGGCTGTGTGTCCTAAAGGCTCCCTAAAAAGTGATGATACCATCTATTTCTCTGGGTTTTTAAGAGGAATGCATCTACCACAGGACTTGATATATAGTAAGCACTCAAGAAATGTTATTAATTTTCCCTGAAGTAAGAAATATTGTTGTGAAATAATGTATCTCTATTTGGAAGTATCAATTTTTCATTAAATGTGGACAAGTAGGAGAATAAATGAACACTTCTCTTTCCCTGCCCCTGAATATATCAATGTTAAGTAGTTCTGTGCCAGCAATAAGCAAATTATCACTTACCTAAATCAGGCAGTGAGATGGAAAATTCACTGTTGATTGGCCAAAAGACACAAAAGGGTTAGGGGAAAAAAAAGTTCAGACAGATTAGTTAATAAATCTCAAATAACATATTGGTGACTAGGTGTCTCAATACAGACAGGTGCCTCTAGGCAAAGATGTGAAGCAAACCTCTCCTGCAGCTTTGTTCTTATCACCCTCAAACAGTGTCCTTTAGTGGACGAATTTACCCTAAGTGACTCCCCATATCACCTTTTCCTAACTAGACAACTTCAGGGTGCCCCACATCCCTGACCTTCTCCATCCAAACAATCCTAATCTTGCCCTCAAAGATGCCAGTTAGCTAATCAGACACGTTCAGTGTGGGTGAGTCACAATGAGAGAGAAAAAACCTACAGATTAATTAGAGGGGACCCTCTGGAGACATTACACCCTGCCTATGATGTCTAAGTGAAAAGAATGACTTAAGGTGAGAATTCCAGACCAGATGGAAAGAGAAAATAGTAAATTGCTAAGTGGGAGAGAATATTTGGTAGATGGTTTGGTATTCATCAGATCTCATAATTAAGGAGATCACATGGAAGGAAATGTGACATGGTAGGAAAAACCCCACACATTTTAACATTTCACGTAAGGTCAGTTCTATAGCTATTTTTGGAGCATCACCACAGGCCAGGTCCTTGTGCTGGATATGTAAAAAGATCAGAGACAGTTTTTGCCCTGGAGTAGCTGGGGACTTAGTGAGGGAGATAAAAAATAAATTAATACAACACTCTACGACAAGAACATAATATAGGAATGTGGAAAGGAATAGCACCCTATGGAAAACTATCTAATCTTTAAATCTCTGTTTTTTTCATTTCTACAACTAATATCAGTATCAATCTTATACGATCACTGTTAGAACTGAATGAGTATCCAAGTGAATATGTGGACATGATCTTCAATGACACCTGCTGTTCTTGTTTATAAAAGGAGACTGAGTGATGTTAGGCTATGATATGCAGGATGGGGTAGAAGAAAGAACATGGTCATTGGAGTAAGACAGAGCTGAAACTGACACTTAGTTCTGCTACTTACCCATTTTGTGACCATGAGAAAGTCATGTAACTTTGAAGCTTTAGTTTTTAAATCTGTAAATGGCGATACAGGGCTGGTGGCCAGAACAGGTAAGGAGGGCGGGGGACAGCTCCCAGGTGGCAGGGAGCAAGGGTAGACAGGGCCAGCAGGAACAGGTAGGGGGAAGCCCAGGAAGTGAATGGAGCAGTTGGAACAGCTAAGGGAGACGAACTTGTCTGTCAGTTTGTCATACTGTCGTGGCTTGCATGTTGTTGTGAGGCTGTGCCAGCAGGGATGCCCATAGTGGACCAGTTTCAGTGGAGCTTCCAGACTGAGACTGGGAAAAGGAAGAGACCATCCACTTTTCAAAGAATTGGCCAGTGAAAACCTATGAACAGTAGTGAAACACTGTCTGATATATTATTGGAAAATTTTATGAATAGCCCTGAAACATTGTCCAATACAGTGCCAGAAGATGAGCCCTACAGGTTGGAAAGCACTCAAAATATGACTGGGAAAGAGATGCCTCATGCCTCATCAGAGAAGAGCCTACCTTAATGAGAGCTTTTGGGGCCTCCATTTGCTGAAGTGGCATGACTCGATACGAGAAGAAACAGCTGCAAACATCTATTGATAATCAGAACATAGAATGCGCAAAGTATGAATCTAGGAAAGTTGGAAGTTGTCAAAAATGAAATGGAATGCATAAAGATTAATATCCTAGGCATTAGTGAGCTGAAGTATACTGGTTTTGGCCATTTTGAATCAGATAACCATATGATCTACTATGCTAGAAATGACAAATTGAAGAGGAATGGTGTATCATTCATTGTCACAAAGGGTGTTTCAAGATCTATCCTGAAGTACAATGCTGTCAGTGATAGAATAATATTCAACTCCTACAGGAAAGCCAGTTAATACTACTATTATTCAATTTTACACACCAACCACCAAAGCTGAAGATGAGGAAATTGAAGATTTTTACCAACTTCTGCAGTCTGAAATTGACCAAACATGCAATCAAGATGTGCTGATTACCACTAGTGACTGGAATGCAAAGCTGGAAACAAAGAAGAATCACTGATAGTTGGAAAATTTGGTATTGGAAATAGAAATTATTCTGGAGATTACATGATAGAATTCTACAAGACCAATGACTTATTCATTGCAAATACCATTGTTCAATAACATAAATGGCAGCTATACATAAGGACTTCACCAGATGAGATACACAGGAATCAGACTGACTATATCTGTGGCAACAGATGATGAAGAAGCTCAATATCTTCAGCCAAAAGAAGGGCAGGAGCTGATTGTGGAAAAGACCATCAGTTGGTCATTTGCAAGTTCAAGTTGAAGTTGACAACGATTAAAACAAGTCCATGAGAGCCAAAATATGATCTTGAATATATCCCTCCTGAATTTAGAGACCATTTAAAGAATAGAGTTGATGCATTGAACACCAATGTCTGAAAACCAGAGGAATTGTGGGATGACATCAAGAACATCATCCATGAAGAAAGCAAAAGGTCATTAAAAAGATAGGAAAGGAAGAGGAGACCAAAATGCATGTCAGAAGAGACTCTGAAACTTACCCTTGAATGGAGAGTAGCTAAAGCAAAGGAAAGAAATGAGAAGATAAAAGAGCTAAACAGAAGATTTCAAAGGGCAGCTCAAGAAGACAAAGTCAGTTATTATAATGAGATGTGCAAAGACATGGAGTTGGAAAGCCAAAAGGGAAGAACACACTTGGCACTTCTCAAGCTGGAAGAACTGATGATGAAATTTAAGCCTTGAGTTGCAATACTGAAAGATTCTGTGAGCAATATATTGAATAATGAAGGAAACATCAAAATAAGGTGGAAGGAATATACAGAGTCACTATACCAAAAAGAATTGGTTGATGTTCATCCATTTCAAGAGGTGGCATATGATCAAGAGCCAATGGTATTGAATGAAGAAGTAGAAGCTACACTGAGGGAAGTGGTGAAAACAAGGCTCCAGGAATTGATAGGATACCCATTGAGATGCCACACTAGCAGCACTCACTTGGCTATGCCAGGAGATTTGGAGGACAACTACGTGGCCAAATGACAGGAAAAGATCCATATTTGTACCCATTTCAAAGAAAGGTGATCCTACAGAATGTGGAAATTATCGAACAATATCATTAATATCACACACAAGTAAAATCTTACTGAAGATAATTCAAAAATCATTACAGCAGTATATTGGCAGAGAACTTCCATAAATGCAAGCTGGATTCAGAAGAGGACATGGGACAAGGGATATCATCCTGATGTCAGATGAATCTTGGCTGAAAGCAAAGAATACCCGAAAGATGTTTACTTGTGTTTTATTGACTATGCAAAAGCATTTGATTGTGTGGATCATAACAAATTATGGATAACATTGAGAAGAATGGGATTTCCAGAACACTTAATTGTGCTCATGAAGACATGTACATAGACCAGGAGGCTGTTGTTCAAACAGAACAAGGGGATACTGCATGGCTTAAAATCAAGAAGGGAGTGCATCAGGGTTGTATCCTTTCACCATCTTTATTCAATCTGTATGCTGAACAAATAATCTTTGAACGTGGCATCAGGATTGGAGGAAGACTCATTAACAACCAATATTCTGCAGATGACACAACTTTGCTCACTGAAAGTGATGATGATTTGAAACACTTAGTGATGAATACTGGAGACTACATTCTGCAGTATGGATTACACCTCAATATAAAGGAAACAAAAATCTTCACAATGGGATCAATAAGCAGCATCATGATAAATGGAGAAAAGATTGAAGTTGCCAAAGACTTCATATTACTTGGTTCTACAATCAACATCAATGGAAGCAGCAGTCAAGATATCAGAGTCGTATAGCATTGGGCAAATCTGCTGCAAAAGACCTCTTTCAAGTGCTGAAGAGCAAAGAAGTCTCCTTGAAGACTAAGGTGCACTTGACACGAGCCACGGTATTTTCAATTACCTCGTATGCATGTAAGAGCTGGACAGTGAAAAAGGAAGACCAAAGAAGAGTCAATGCTTTTGAGTTGTGGTGTTGGCGAAGAATGCTGAAAGTACCATGGACTGCTAAAAGAACTAACAAATCTGTCCTGGAATAAGTGCAGCTGGAATGCTCCTTGGAAGCAAGAATGGCCAAACTTCATCTCAAACTACTTTGGTCATGTTGTCAGAAGGAACCATTCCCTGGAGAAGGTTATCATGCTTGGCAAAGTGGAGGGACAACGAAAAAGAGGAAGGTCCTCGGCAAGATGGATTGATAGAGTGGCTGCAACCATGGACTCAGATATAGCAAGGATCATGGGGCTGGCACAGGACCGGGCAGTGTTTTGTTCTGCTGTACATGAAGTCACTATGAGTCAGAGATGACTCAACGGCACCTAACAACAACAACAAATGGAGATACCACTTTTTACCTTATTGGGTTAGTGTGAGGATTAGCTAGAATGGAAGTGAAATACTTAATACACTCCCTGCCCTCAACACCTATTTAGCAGATATCCTTTGGATCTCTTCTCAAGGGTCATTTGACCTAGGAAGATTTTCTTAACACCACTCTTAATCCATTTTTAATGTGGGTCAGGGTGATGATAGCTCCTCTTTAAATTAAGCAGCTGAGGCCACAAAATATCTATTATGGTATTTCCTTCCAGGTAGCGTTCTAGACACTGGAGAGACAGCAGTAGACATAACAGTCAAAATAACTATCCACATGGAGTTATATTATATTGGAGTGAGACAGAAAAATGGAGAGAAATTTGGTATTTGTCCTAAACCATAAATGTATGGAAATTAATGGTATGTCATAAAAAATATATAAGTACAAATGAGAAAAACTGAGCAGACTAAGGAGGGTAGGGCTTGATGTGGGGGTTGGTTTGCCGTTTTACAGAAGAAGGCTTCTGTCAGGGAAGGCTTCACTTATAGATGACTTTGAGCAGATATGTGAAAATAGTAAGCCACATGGATATTTGGGCTAAGAGTGTTCCCTGGGAGAAGAAATAGTAAATGCAGAGACCCTCAGGTAGAGTGTGCTTGGTCTATTTGAAGGAGAGCAAGGATATCAGTATACCCAGAGCAAGGGAATGAGAAGGGGTTTGACATATAATTACTGTGTAAAGCTCATTGCATAATGAAGACTGATGGTATGGCACAAATGGTTAAGCACTCAACTACTAACTGAAAGGTTGGTGGTTTGAACCCACACAAAAGGTGTCTCCAAAGAAAGACCTGGTGATTTGCTGCCTTGAAAATCTGATGGAGCACAGTTCCACCCTGCAACACACGGTTGCCGGGAATTGGAACTGACTCAATGGCAAATTTTTCTTTTTTTTTTAAATGCCTAATTCATGTCATTTACTAAGGACTATCCCTATAATCCTTAAACTCTGGTAATATAGTAGTTAAGGCAGTTGGCTGCCAACAAAAAGGTTAGAGTTCAAACCCACCAGCTGCTCTGTGGAAGAAAGATGAGGCAATCTGCTTCTGTAAAGATTTACATCCTTGGAAACCCAATGGGAGTTGCTATGAATTGGAATCAGCTCGATGGCAGTGCACTTGATTGTTTTTATTTTTTTGTTTTTATCTAAATAGTCAATAGTGTGTGTGTGTGAGAGAGAGAGAGAGAGATTGAGAGAAAGAGATACAGAAAAAGAGAGAGAAAAGACTGAAGTCTCTTACTCTTCTTAAATGTCATATTTTCATAGTTTCAATCTCCTAAAGATAAGGCAATACACTGAGGTTGGTATTCAAGAGAGGTAGTTGGTCTTTAAAAGACAAAAAGAAAAGAAAGAGAGAACTTTGTTTTATCTTGGTCTATCTGCATGTTAATTCAAACATAAACTAGAGAGATAGATTTTGGTAATATGTAAGGTAATTTTAATAGGAGAAAAACCCAAAAACCACAACTCACTGTCATCGAGTCAGACCTGACTCATAGCGACCCATCCTTGGGTTTCTGAGGCAGTATCACTACAGAAGTAGATTGCCCAACCTTCCTTCTGAGGAATGGCTGGTAGGTTTGAACCACCAATCTTCTGGTTAGCAGTCAGATGCCTTAGGCACTATGCTACCAGAGCTCCTTTACCATGGAAAGAAATGTGATATTTTTTCTAAAAGTTAGAAGGTGTTACTATATTGTATTAAGTAAAAAGAAACAAGATTTTCATTTTAAGAAAGTGAGTATTCTCACCTGGATCAAATTTTAAGGGACTGTAGCTTATCATCTCCAAAAATCTCTGTCAGAAAGCATCTGACCTGCTAAGGCTCGAATCTGTCTTTGTGTTTAGGTCTCACTGACCTGTAGAGCTAAACTCCCTCTTCTTCCCATTGTCAGGACTCCATTGATAAAGCTTATGTTCTAGTGCATCTCTTGATAGATACAACAGGCAGTTGGGACTTAAAATCATAATTCTCAACTTTTTTAATGGAAAAGAACTTCAAGATAATATAACATCTATATTGAATGACCTCGGGCAGATAATTTTACCATCTACTGTACTCCATTTCCTGATTTATAAAATACTGATCTCTGTCTATGTCTGTATATATTAAAAAGAAAAGTACTCCAGAGATCACCCAGTCTCCCTTCTATTGTACACAAGAGAAAACGGGGGCCCTGTGAGTACAAAAAGGAAGTGAATTGCTCATGGTTGTTGGCACACTGAATAAATGGCAGAGCTGACACTGGACTCTAGAATCCGGGCCTCCCATCTCTTTTCACTGCTGGTGGATTTATAACCTCCCCAAAGTCTAGCACTTAGCCTATGTGACCTTGGAGGTTCCTTCCAGGTCTAAGACTTTGAGAAATGTGAAACAGTCAGCTGAAAATTTCATCTCCTCTCTCCACACATTGCTGTTCTCAGAGAGGCAAATTAAAATATGGATGGTAGTCAAATGAAAACACTGGAGCTTGTAGGGCTAAGAAAGCATAAAAGAATGTAATTACCAAAATAGTATAATGCTTAGTGATAACAATGGAGAGATGTATTCTTTGATTACAATCCACAGGAATATATGCTAAAGATGATGAGGAAAATGTTCTTTCTAGATTTGCTTAATTAATACTTTCCCTATACCCCCTGTTTAGGAGCTCTGGTGGCATAGTGCCTAAGGCATTTGACTGCTAACCAGAAGGCTGGTGGTTCAAACTCACCAGGCACTCCTCAGAAGGAAAGTTGGGTAGGTAATCTACTTCCATAATGATACCACCTCAGAAACCCAAGGAGGGATCTCTATGAGTCAAGTCTGACTCCATGGCTGTGGTTGCATTTGGTTGCATACCCGTTTACAACCACAGTCATCAAGCTTTTCAAAAGGGACATGCCATTTTTTTATTAGTATCTGTGGTGTGCTATACTCAAAAATCAGCACGAAGGAGGCAGATGACAACCAAGGCCTTTGGTTTAATTTCTCATATCCCCTGAGAATGGAAAAAAGAGTCAATATGCTAGGCTTTTAACTGAAAGGTTGGATATTCAAGTCCACCCAGAGGTGCCTGTCCAACTACTTCTGATAAACGAGTCACTGAAAACCCTCCAGAAGTTCTACTCCGATGCACATGGGGTCATTGTGAGGTGGAACCAACCCAACAGCAACTGGTTTTTGGTTCCTGAGAGCAGTTTGGAGAAGTTCAGCTGTGGAATTACCAGGCTCGTACTGCTAACCCTCTCCTGGACAGAGAGAGAGAAAAAGACTGTCATTTACCTTACACTTTCTTTAGACTTGGCCTTCTTCGTTTTAAATCTATCCTTTTCTTTTTTGAAGAACTGTCGGAATCTTTTAAGTGTTCTGTTGCCATCTAAACTAAGAGGAAACAGAGAACATAAAGAATAGGGCATTTGAGAGAGTACTACAGATGAAAAGCTGTTGTACTAAAATGACTAGAGGCTTCAGTCTCATTTCCAAAACCACAACCACTCAAGGAAGGGCTGGAAAATACCTTATTAATTTCTGTTCTTCTCTTCTTTGTCTAGGCTCTGATATGAAGTAGCAAACACAGATAGCTATGAAGGGAGTAATTACATTTCAACACAAACTTTCATCTTCCACAAATGGCCTTTGTTTTGCAGAGCTTATGGAGCAAAGTCTTCCGTTTTGAAGAGATGATAACTTAGGGCAGCATAGTTTACAAACTGTACTACAAATCCATTATAGGGATTTCTGTCTCCTGAAATCCATGCCACTGATACTTTGTTTGCTGAGTGGTAATACAACAATAGTGGTACATTGATTGCCTAGTTGATGACTGAAAATTCTTCTAACTATGATCTGGGGCTTGTGTGTGTGTGTGTGTGTGGGGGGGTTGGAATGGAGTGATATATCCATAGCATCTAGCCACCCAGGAGCCAACCTAGCTCACAGCTAGGTTCCCCTCTTTTTCTCTGAACGTTCAAACTTTTCATTTTGACCATTGCTGTTTACCTCTCTATAATGTGCCCTTAATAGCTAAACTTGATGAATAAAGCCCACTGGAGCAAATGTTATTCTTAGTAACACTGAATTACTAGATATTAAGTCCAAATGCCAGAGATAGCTTTATTAACCTGCAAACACACAGTTAAGTCATAAACATTGACTTGTTCCTGGAGAAGCACCTATGGAACTGAAACAGATTTTATTGTTATATTTTACTTCTCCTTTCTTGTTTCCTAATGCAGTATCAACATCCTCTACTCTGGGTAATGGAAATGTTCTCAAAAGAGAAAGCAATGAGATTGAAAATTTATTGCATATGGTTGGACAAAATGACAAATATACTTTTGATCACAATATAATAATACAACAGTGAATTACCACACTCCATTCAAATCCTATTTAAAAGATGGAGGAAAGGTGGAGGACATTTCTTAAACTCTGGTTTTCTTAGACTAACAAGAAATATCATTAGTCTATAAAGGCAAAAAAAAGAGAGCAACTCACTCTGTCTTTGAGTAACTGTTCTTTGTTTTGTAGACATCTTCATATATTTCTTCACTATTTTCTTCTGAAATAAAAACAAAAATTCACTCATTATATATGACAATAGTTTAGATTCACATTTAACAAAAATATTATTGGATACCTCCCAGGTGCTAGTCATTTTGACCTTTGTTTATTACTTATTAACTAGTTTTTATTGAAATATAAGCACATGTTTTTATAGACAGGAAGTTGGTTTATCAACAGATTCCTTCCTCCCTCCTTCCTTTCTTTCCATATTTAATACATAGTAATGAGTCTTCTAGGCATCAGACATTGTGAGGAATGCTAGGGAAACAATGGGAAGCCAGATACATGTTGAGTAATCTCTCCCTTCATAGCACAGTTTTAGCTTGGTACAACATATAAGCTTAATATACACAGATATTCTTTGAGTCTACTCTGTCAGTGGGGTCTAATGGAAAGAATACTGGACTATCAGGATTTTCAGGTTCAAAACTTGCCTCTAATACACAGGGAGCCTAAGGCTCTATATTCTCTATGCCTCAGTTTCCTTTTTAAAATGAGGGTGCTGGGTTTGATGATCTCTGAATGCAGTAGGTACTGAGTGTCAACTTGGCTGGGCTGTGACTTTGAGTAATTTGGCAGCTGGATGCAGTTATTCCCCTTGAGGAGACTGAATGTGGTGTAATAAACGCCATAGTGGAATCTGCTCTGAGCAGCTAAGTAGTTGCCTGCTTTCAGTATGTATGGGAAAGATTTGAGGAAGGTGTTGAGCTTTTTGGCACATTTTGGAACCTGCATTTGGCTGAGTCTTCCTCTCCATTTCCTGCACTTGAAGCAGTGGCCTGCCATGTTGCCTGCTGACCTTGGGATTGTGCCATTTCACCTTACAACCTTGGGTTCATCAGCCCCAGCACCCAGTAGCTGCCTGAGTCAGAAGCTTCTAGCTCTAGTTGTCCTAGAGCCAGAGTCAGAGCTGTAGCCCAAGATCACAGGGCCTTTATTCAGCCACTACAGCCAGCACTCAAACAGGACTTCTAGCCTCCTAAACTATAAGAGAATAAATTCCTATTTGTTAAAGCCATCAACTTTTGGTATTTCTGTTATAGCAGCATTAGAGAAACAGGACACTAAAGTTACTTCTCCATCTAAAATGCTGGAATTCTAAGTAGAACAAAAACACCCAGAGTAACGTTTGGCTAGCCCTCCTCTTCTCTTTTTTCATTCATTCAACAAATGTTTTTTCAATATGTTTTTTGGCATTACGCTAGGTGCTGGGGAAAATGTTTAGCATAAAGAAGGTAATAATCTAGGAGAACTACGGAAGTAAATTTAAAAATTACAAGTACAACAAGTGCTATGAAAAGAAGTCCACAGTACTATGAGATTGTACACTAAGGAGAATATTGCCTGGAGAAATGATTGAGCTGAGATTAGAAGAAAGATTTAGAGTCACTTAGGCACAGGGGAATGGAGGAAGGGTAGAGCATTCCAGGAAGAGGGAGTATCATACCAAAGACCCTATAAGGGGAGCTTACAAATCAAAGGAATTAAAAGGTGGGTGCAATTAGAAAAAGAGGAAGTTTGAGTATATTATGAGATGAAGCCATAAGGCAGGTAGGGGCAGACCACTCATGACCTTCTAGGCAGTGTTGGATACACCAGTAATGAGCAAATCAGCACAGACTTACTTATGCTTACTAATGTCTAGTGAAAATTTTCACATTTTCAGCACATCAAAGATTCTGTTTCTAGGTATGGCTGGGATCTGTCTCTTTCCCAACCCCACAGCACCTTCCTATAGAATCAAAGCCTTTTGTTCAAGTTTACAGTCCTTGAAAGGGACAGAGTATATAGTAAGCAAGGTAAGCACAAGTTTACTAATCCATGGTGAACACATTTCTTACCACATCAGCCTATGCTTACCTTATTGGGTAGTGTACTCCTGCTTCTAGTCTAGATTAAGGTCATTGTTAAAAGCCCTGGGCAGCTATGAAAGTACTTTAAACAAACATATGCCAATGAGATGTCCATTGTGAAGAGATCAAGAAAAAAGCAATTTCATAGTGAAGTTACTTTGTTACCACAAGAACCCCATTACCATTATCTTCACCCTCATGATTTCAGATGTGTTAATTATCAACCCATCCCCGCCCCACCCCAGGGACTACTTCTCTTATTTTACCATCCCCCACCATTAAGTTTATCACTAATCAGTCAGAGGCACTGAGCAATTCCTACTGGAATTGGAAAGGAGGGTGGTCTTTTATACTTACCGCTATCTGAAGCAAACGAGTTCAAAGAGATAGATTTTGTTCTGTGGGGAGAAAAGACAAAGACCATCAACCTGTTGTACTGTACTTTAAAGTCTCATCACAGTCAGTTTGCCAAAGGGATGGGATGTGCTTACCTCTCTCTCTCGGGGTACTCAACATCATCATATGTCTCCTCTTCGGGGGAACCTGGCTTAAACGGCCCTTCATCAGGGGTTTCTTTAGTCACCTCCAAGGCCTCCACATATCCACCTGTAAGGAAAACAGAGAATTTTCTTGAAGAACTTCTCACCAACTGCTATCATAAATGTTTTCACAGACATCACTAGCAATGAAAGCAAGAATGGGTAGAAAAAAGCAAATTAATGTGGATTCTTTCCTTTGATATCAGTTCTTGATATATTTACACATGTTAAACATTTTTACCTTTCACTCTGTTTCAGTCAGAAGATTCTGATTATAATTCTTTCATTTCTTCACTCAACAACATTTTGTAGGGCTGCTACAGTGTGCCAGACACAGCCGGGAGGAGAAAACGTGAGAGTGAGTCCTTGGGTTATTGTTCATGTCCCTGGATCCAGCCATAGTTCACTTTCTGCTAGCTGAACCCATCTACACCTTTTTTTTTTTTTTTTTTTCTTAACATAGTAAGATTTGTTCACTATTATTTTCAATCAAGAGCCTTGACTAACATGAAAGTAAAATGCAACCTGACTAAAGTTGACATATGATACTATATTGGCTTGGTTTCTTATTTCTGCTGTAACAGAAATACAAGTGGGTGGCTTTAAGAATCAGAAATTCGTTTGCTCAATTTCCAAAAAGGAAAAAAAAATCAAACTCACTGCCCTTGAGTCAATTCCGACTCGTAGGTCAGAGCACAACTGTCCCATTGTTTCCAAGGCTGTAAATCTTTATTGAAGTAGACTACCACATCTTTCTCCCACAGAGCAGCTGGTGGATTCGAATCACCAACTTTTCAGTTGGCAGCCAAGCACTTTAACCACTGTGCCAGTAAACTTTCTCATAGTTTAAAACTAAAACTAAATCCATTGTCATTGGGTTGATTCTGACTCGTAGTGGCCCCCACAGGGTTTCCAAGGTTGTAAACCTTTGCAGAAGTAGATTACCTCATCTTCCTCCCATGAAGTAGCTGGTGGGTTTGAACTGCTGACCTTCTGGTTAGTAGCCAAGTACCTTACCCACTGTGCCACCAGAGCTCTTCTCATAATTTAGGAAACTAGAAATCTGAATTAAGGATGCCAACTCTAGGAGAATGGTTTCTCTTTGTTGGCTCTGGGGGAAGGTCCTTGTCTCTTTCCAGGTTCTGTTCCTCAGTCCCTTGGTGATCTTCATGTGGCCTGGCCTTCCCTCATCTGTGCTTCCCTCTCTGTGCCTAATCAGCTTGACTTACATCTCAAAGATGATTGGCTTAAGACATATCCTATACTAATAGGGCCTCATTAACATAATAAACTCCTATTTCTAAATGGGATGACATCTACAAATATAGACATTAGGATTTATAACACATATTTTGGGGGGACACATTCAATTCATAACACACACTGTACCATCAGTGTGTCAATTACATGAGCCTACAAAAGCCAGCAAGAGCTGGTAGATATAAAAAGAAATGAACATTTACTGAGTATCTGTTATGTGATACACTGTCAGCTTTGATCCTCTGAAAATCCCTATGAGGTCCATACGATGATTTCCCTTTATAAATGGGGAAATTGAGCTGCAGGAATTTGAAGTTACTTCCTGCATAGCTAGTAAATATTAGAGCCTGGATTTGAACTCAGGTTTTCTGCCTCTAAAGCTAGTGCTCTTTTTATTACTGTACAGCTATTTCAATAGGGTATCTTAGTACATAATGATATTCAATAAATATTTTTAAACAATTAGGTAATGGTGAAGAACCCTAGGGAAAGAATGCAACTTACAGTGACCTTGGATGTGCCTGGCCAGTTTCACATCCTCAGGGCAGGCCTCTGTCTGGATGACGTTAATCACAGAATCCTGCTTCTTGGCCAGCCTGTTCCTCCTTCCTCTGTGGACTTCTGTCATCTGGAGTTTTCCAGGGTTTGCTTCATAGGCATCCATCTAAACACATCAAAAGGGAGGTTATTGTAGAACTCTAACTTGTCCATTTTTTTTTTTTTTTAACTTGTCCATTCAGTTCTTGGCTTATTTGTGCTGATCTTCATTCATTCATTCTTTATGTACAGCAATCGCTTATTATTTACTTAATGCTGTCTTGTCCTACTAGATTCCACATTTCACAAGAGCAGTTACCACATCTGTTTTGTACACCTCTCAATGACCAATGAGTGCCTGGCAAAGTGGCCGGCCCCCAGGAGGCAGTCAGGACATATTGGAGCACCAACTATAGAACTCTTTACAAATTCTGTCTCAGTTAATCTACCCATGAGAAAAATATTAGTCTAACTGATAAAGGGTTTAGGGTGGTTAAATAATCAGTCCTGTTCCCACAGCTAATAATCTACAGAGACATGATTTGATCCCAGAGCTCTAGGCTCTTGACCACCACTGGGTGCTGTAAGGTCTTTCTCCTTTCCTTCCCTTTGCCTATTCTTTGACCTTTCCAACCTCAACTATTCTGTCCCTTGCTTTTTTCCATATCCCTCCCCCCAGCATTTGCCAAACACTTATTAAAGGTGAGACAACATGCTGAGCTCTGGAGGTGGAGAGTTGCAAAGGACATGGCGGCTTACACTCTTGTCATGGGAAACTGCAAGCAGACAATTAAGTGTATATAAGTATAATAAGTGAGTGTTGTTTATAGCAGGATTACTGACTGAGATGAAAACAGGAAGGGGAGGTTGGTTCTGTTGGCTAGTAGACAGGGCTGGAGAAGACTTCAAGAAGCACATTGTATTAAATTTAATTTTCAAATATAAGTAGGAGATTGAGAGAGGGGATAAAGGAATAGTTTGCAGATCAAACCTCATGAGCAAAGACATGGAGGTGTTTGGAGAAGTGTTGACGTCCTCACAGGACAGCATACAGGGAGAGTGGAAGGAACAGAGGAAGACTGGAAATGAGGCTGAGTAGAGGGGAGAGTGGGGCTGAGTTATGAAGGGTCTTGAAGGAAAGGCAAGATTGTGGCCTTCATCTCAGAATCATGGGGCCAGGGAGGGGAGAAACTTGGTCAGATTTGTATTTCAGAAAGATCTAGATAGATTAACCAAAAAGAGACACTGGAGGCAGAGAGAAAAATTAGAACATTTCTAGCCATCTGAATGTTTTGTAATTTTAAAAAGAAAATGGGGTAGGTGGTGGTGGTGGCTTACTACCCTTCCCACTATATCAGAGTGGACATGAGAATTAACTATGGTAATATATTTGAAAGTGTCTGGACAAAACTAAAGTAATTAACAGATATGAAGTGTAGATTATACTGAATTCTTGGTGGGATCTAGGCAGACTGTGAGAACAAGAGGAAGGGCATTCTTTTAAGGCACATAGCAAGGAATGAAATTTTTAAATGGGGAAAATTGTACAAAAGTAATAAAGTGAATGTTTTACACGAATAGAGTGACCCTCATTCTTCAATAGATCTCAAGTAGTGCACTTAATCATTTTGGCCTATCCTTAGAAATGTTGAATCACAATGGATGATGTATCTACTGATTTCTAATTTATATTTGACCCTAAAGAACAATGACCAGCTAGACCATCTTCTCATTCCTCTAACGTACTCCAAATAACTCTTAACCACCTCCCAAACTCTAACTCACCCCATACCAATAGGAATGTGTCCCTTTGGTGGTAGCCTGGCTCTGTATTTTGCTAGTGCCATGCAGTCAGCACTGAAAAAGAACACATCCTTGCCTCTGCTTTTTCATGGTCAGTACACTTATGTATTCTCCTCTCCTACTTTGCTCCCATGCTCCCAAGCAACCCTTACTGATCTCTGGCCTATTAGCAATTTATGGCTTTGCCACTGCCCCCTAGATTTGCTACATCCCTGGCCCTGATCTTTCTTTGTTGTTATTTTTGAGAAGATAAACAGCAGAACATGTACCAATTCAACAATTTCTACATGTACAATTCAGTGAGTGACACTGATTACATTCTTTGAATTGTGCAATCATTCTCTCTCTCCTTTTCCAAGTTGTTGCTCTCTCATTAACATACTTCAGGAGTTATATTTAGTTTAAGGTTTAAAGATTATTTTAGGGGTTCATCCAGCCACTATGGCTCCAAAAACTTTGGAGTCCATAAGGATTTGAAATTATGTTCTGCAATTTCTCACTTTTTGATCAAGATTATTCTTTGTAGACTCTTTGATCAAAACATTAAGTAATGGTAGCTGCGCATTCCTGTCTTTTTTGATTAATGACTTCTCCATTCTTGGAATTATGCTGCATCTTGATACTCTGTATAAAAACCCAACCTGGTCCAGCCTAGTCTCTGTACCTATATACCAAGTCAAATCCACAGCACCAGTACAGAACAATGCAATTGGATTCACCCTAGCTCTGCAGATAAACCAAAAACCAAACTCACTGCTGCTGAGTCGGATCCAACTCATAGTGACCCCTCTTTGGGTTTCTGAGGTGGTATTACTATGGAAGTAGATTGCCCAATCTTCCTTTGGAGGAGTGGCTGGTGGGTTTGAACCACCAATCTTCTGGTTAGCAGTCAAATGCCTTAAGCACTACACCACCAGAGCTAGCTCTGCAGATAGTACTGGGATCATTTGGTATTAAAAGATGATAATGTAGGGAAATCTCAAACAGGTATCTAAGAATGTTTTGAGTACTTGTAGTAGCACAGGTACTATATGTATTCTTTAAGCCTCCCACCAGGCTAACTACTCTGAAGAGGATAATGCAACTAGATATGAACACACACAGACACACAGACTTTAATATTAACAAAAGCAATAGCAGTACAGTTCATTTCTATGACATTTATATCTTACAAAGCACTTTCATGCATATCATTCATTTTATCACCACAAGCAAGGCAGAATTAGAGTGGCAGTGGGAAGGTAGTTTGGTAAAAAAAAAAAAAAAAGAAAAGAAAAGAAAACCTATTGCCATCAAGTCAATTCTGACTCATAGCAACCCTACAGGACAGAGTAGAACTGTCCTATAGGGTTTCCAAGGCTGTAATCTGTATGGAAGCAGACTGCCTGCCTCATCCTTTTCCCATAGAATGGCTGGTGAGTTCTGTTGACTTTCAATTAGCAGCCAAGCACTTTTAACCACTGTGCCACCAGGGATCCTTGGCAATTGGATGTTGTTGTTATTTGCCATCAAGTCGGACCTGACTCATAGTGACCCCTCCTTGGGTTTCCGAGGCAGTATCACTACAGAAGTAGATTGCCCAACCTTCCTTCCAAGGAATGGCTGGTGGGATTGAACCACTAGCCTTCTGGCTAGGTGTCAAGTGCCTTAGGCACTACACTACCAGAGCAATTGGATAGGGATTATTTATTCTCATTTTACAGATGATATGACTGAGGTCAGAGACTATGTCACTCTTCTAAGCAGGGTCCAGGACACAGCATTTAAGGAGGCACTCATTCCAGGATTGTGCAAGTAGGGTTAGCACCTGAGAGTAAGGGTCTCCTTAAATTTTGTACCCTGGGCAATTTGCTTACCTCACTCTAGTCCTAGCCATGATTTTAAGACCTCAAGGCTAATCAGTGGAAAATCTGGCTTTTATTAATATTAAATTCTGTGTGTGTGTGTGTGTGTGTGAAAAACTTTGTGTTACTGCCATATTCATTTTCTTCATAAAATACCCAACACCCGTTATATCTTCTGACTGCCTCTGTGGAGATCTGAATGTCTTGGCTTCTAAATGTCCCCCTAAGAACTGATACAATTACATGTGTGAACTATACTCTTTGCCCAGGAATTCAAGAACACAGATACCTTGGAATGATGGTTTACATGTGGGCTCTTTTCTTTTTTCTGAGGTTCCAATTTACATGGATCATTCTCCTTCAATTTTTTATCTTCACCTTCATGTTTAAAGCTGAAATGTAAAGAGATACCAGGGAATAAATGAAGCTTAGAATTTTAGATGATAGTGCATCTCTCAGTCCTAAATGAAATGAATGGAAAAAAAAGAATTTAGCAGACATCAACCCTATTTGTTTTAAGATGAGGGGACCAGAATCAGACCAGCCATATGGGTAGCTTCCCTGAGCTTCTGCCTGCTCCAATGAATGCCAGAATGTCAATTTCTGCTTAAAATTGTCTAATACTCTCCATTTCCTATAGAAGGTTGGGCAATCTACTTCTGTAGTGATATCACTTCGAAAACCCAAGGAGGGGTTGCTATGAGTCAGATCCGACTCGACGGCAGTGCGTATAAGTCCCATCATTACCTGGGTCCTACCTTCCTTTCCATTCTTACCTCCTTCAGTCCCTTTCCTCCCACTCTTGCTCTTCTCTATGGTTATGTTAGTTGCCTTTGAGTTGCCTCTACTCATGGCAACCTTATGTATAACAGAATGAAACATTGCCTGGTCCTGTGCCATCTTCACAATTGTTGGTATGCGTGAATCCATGGTTTCAGCCACTCCATCAGTCCACTCACTGAAGGCCTCCTTCACCTTTGCCAACCCTCCACTTCACTAACCATGATGTCCTTTATTAGCAATTGGTCTTTCCTGATGACATGTCCTAAGAGAGCTGGTCTTGCCATCCTTGCTTCTAAGGAACATTCTGGTTGTATTCTTCCTAAGACTGATTTGTCTGTTCTTTTGACAGTCCATGGTGTATTCAATATTGAATTCTCTTGTCTAGACTGTCATAATTCCCCAAATATACCATCCTATTTTGAGCAATTCTCTCTTCATTTGCCACTTTTTTTTTTTTTTTTTTTTTTTCCTTGTGGTTCATTCCTAGGTTTGTTTGTTTTTTTTTTTTTTGGTCAGGCATGTCCTTTACACCTTATATTAATTATTGCAGACACAGCACCCTTCTCAGTTTGTCTAAAGCATCTTATTTCTGAGACTCCTTCCCTGATTCTCCTAGAGTTAGTCATACCTTCATCTCTGTTCCCATAACGCTTTGTCTACGTTTTATTATATCTCTCCATGGATCTTCTCCAATTTCTCCTGTTTGCCTCATCAACTTTTTCTCATCTATAACAAGGCTGAACTATCTTATTAGTCTGCGTATTTCTAGCAAAAATGGTGCGTAAGTCTGTGGTAGCTATAGCACAGTGTCTGCAGTGGGGGATTACATAAGAGAGTCAAAGAGGAGGGTGTAATGAAAACACAAGAAGAGCCAAGGACAGGACACTGGGCAATATCAGCATCCATGTGGGAACTCTAGCTTCTGGCAATATAGCCATATAACACTTCTGCCACAACAATAATATATAAGGAAGAAGAAAGTCCCTCAAAGAAAACCAGAGGAGGTGGTCATGAAGGAGGGAAAGCACCATGAGAGAGTGCTATTCTGAAAGCAGCAGAAAAGAGTTTTAAGGCATTTCATCCAACTACTGGGCACTCTTGTCCACCATGAAGGCCAAGTCAAATACTAGTTCTTCTGTGGTGAACAGGGGCTATAAAGTGACTGTTGGGTTCTAATCTCTACTCCACTTCTTTCTAAAGATAAAAAAAAAATCTACCTAAAATCAAATTCTCTCATCTATAAATAAAAGGTCACAATGACAATCTGAATAGTTGTTATAAACATGAAACAATAAAAAAGCTGAAAATCCGGTAGTGTTTATAGCATTATGATGGACCTTTTGTAATTACTGATATCCTTTTCTTCCCTGAATCATAGTGATCAGAATTACAAAGCTCTTATGTTCTCACAGCACATTGCTGTTATTTCTGCTAGGTATTTGCCTCCCTTGTTGATGTATGTTTCTTTTGTAATCCATATTCCTATTCCCCAATCTCTGTCCAGTAGCTTCTACACAGTTACTTTAACCCAAATAACTCTTAAATTCAATTTAATACTGTGACTTCTAGGAATGTCACAGGGGAAGAGATAGATAGTTTCTACTTTAAAATTCATTTGTATTTCCCTTTTACCCACAGATTAGAGTTGACATCTGTGTTAATACAATGGCCACTAGCCATGTATGGCTACTGAACACTTGAAATGTGGCTGATCCAAATTAAGAGGTCCTGTAAGTACAACATATATCTAAATTTTGGAGAGTTAGTATAGAAAAAATATTTTAGAACAACAGAAATGGTGACTATAAACATGGACCTCACCAGACAGAATAAACAGGAATCCAATTGACTACATTTGTCAAAAGAGATGATGGAGAAGCTCAATATCATCAGTCAGGAAAAGGCCAGTGACCGACTAGAAAACACCATCAACTGCTCACATGCAGGTTCAAGTTGAAGCTAATGAAAATTAAAACAAGTCTATGAGAGCCAAATATGACCTTGTTTATATCCTATCTGAAATTTAGAGACCATCTTAAGAATAGATTTGATGCATTGAACACTATTGACTGACGACCAGACAAGTTGTAGTGTGACATTAAGAACATCATACATAAAGAAAGCAAAAGATCATTAAAAAGATAGGAAAGAAAGAGAAGACCAAAATGGATGTCAGAACAGACTCTGAAACTTGATCTTGTGCAGAGAGTAGCTAAAGTAACAGGAAGAAACAATGAAGTACAAGAGCTGAACAGAAGATTTCAGCTGAACAGAAGGGCAGCTCAAGAAGACAAAGTGAAGTACTATAATGAATAGTGCAAACACCCGCAGCTAGAAAACCAAAAGAGAAGAACATGCTTGGCATTTCTCAAGTTGAAAGAACTGAAGAGAAAATTTAAGGCTTGAGTTGTAATAATGAAGGATTTTATGGGCATAATATTGCATGACAGGAAGCACCAAAAGAAGATGGAAGGAACACACAAAATCACTGCACCAAAAGGAATTGGTCAATATTCAACCATTTCAGGAGGTAGCCATCTGATCAAAAACCAATAGTATTGAAGGAAGAAATCCAAACTGCACTGGAAGCACTGGTGAAAAACAAAGCTCCAGGAATTGAAGGAATACCAATTGAGATGTTTTAACAAGTGAATGCAACACTGGAAGCACTTACTCACCTATGCCAAGAGATCTGGAAGACAGCTACCTACTGGAAAAGACCCATATTTGTGCCCATCCCAAAGAAAGGTGATCCAACAGAATGTGGAAATTATTGAACAATATCATCAATATCACAATCCAAGTTTTGCTGAAGATAATTTAAAAATAGTTGCAGCAGTACATCAACAGGGAACTGCCAGAAATTTAAGCTAGATTCAGAAGAGGACATTGAATGAGGGATATCATTGCTGATATCTGATGGATCTTGGCTGAAATCATAGAATACTAGAAAGATATTTACCTATGTTTTATTGACCATGTAAAGGCATTTGGCTATGTGGATCATAATAGATAACAATGTGAAGAATGGAAATTCCACAATACTTATTGGTGCTCATGTGGAATCTGCAGATAGACAAAGAGGCAGTCATTTGAACAGGACTAGGGGATACTGCACTGTTTAAAATCAGGAAAGGTGTGCAGCAGGGTTACCCTTTCACCATAATTATTCAATCTGTATGCTGAGCAAATAACCAGAGAAGCTGGAGAATATGAAGAACATGACATCAAGATTGGAGGCAGACTCATTAACAACCTGCAATATGCAGATGACAAAACCTTGCTTGCTGATAGCAAAGAGGACTGGAAGGACTTACTGATAAAGATCACAGACTACAGCCTTCAGTAAAGATTACACCTCACCATAATAAAAACAAATATCTTCACAACTGGATAAATAAACAACATCTTGATAAATGGAGAAAAGACTGAAGTTGTTAAAGATTTCATTTTGCTTGGATCCACAATCAATGTCCATTGAAGTGCAGTCAAGAAATCAAATGACATTGCACTAGGCAAATTTGTTTAAAAAAATTCTTTTTAAAGTGTTAAAAAGCAAAGATGTCACTTTGAGGACTAAGGTGCACCTGACCCAAGCCACAGTGTTTTCAATTGCCTCATATGCCTGTGAAAGCTGATAATGGATAAAGAAGGCTGAAGAAGAATTGATGCATTTGAATTATGGTGTTGACAAAGAATGCTGAATATACCATAGACTGTGAGAAGATTGAACAAATCTGTCTTGGAAGAAGTACGACCAAATTACTCCTTAGAAGTGAGGACGGTGAGATTTCACCTCACATGCATTGGACGTGTTATCAGGAGGGACCAGACCCAACAGAAGGACATTATGCTTGGTAAAGTGTAGGGAGTGAAAAAAAGGAAGAATCTCAACAAGATGTATTGACACAGTGGTTGCAACAATGGGCTCAAACACAGCAACTTTGTGAGGATGGTGCAGGACTGGGCAGTGTTTTGTTCTTTTGCACAATACCAACAGTATAGAAAAAAGAATGGAAAATAACATTAATCATTTTTGTGTTGATTACATACTGAAATAATATTTTTAATATATTGACTAAAATAAATTATTAAAATTAATTTTACCTGTTTCTTTTTTCGATATGACTACTAGAAAATCCAAAATTACATATGTGGTTTGTATTATATTTCTATTGGACAAACCAAACCAAACCCACTCCCATCTAGTCAATTCTGACTCATAGCAAAAGAATAGAACTATAGGACAGAATAGAACTGCCCCATCGGGTTTCCGAGTCTGTAAATCCTTACAGAAGCAGACTGCCTTATCTTTCTTTTATGTAGTGGCTGATGGATTCAATCTGCTGGCACTTTGGTTAGTAGCTGAATGTTTTAACCACTATGCCACCAGAGCTCCTCTACTGGACAAAAAAAAAGAAAAAAAAAAACCAACCCAAACTCACTGCCATTGTGTTGATTCTGACTCATATTGTCCCCTTTTGGGTTTTCAAGGTTATAAATCTTTACAGAAGTAGATTGCCCAGTCTTCCTTCCATGGAGTGGCTGGTGGGTTTGAACCATCAACCTTCTGGTTAGCAGTCAAATGCCTTAGGCACTATGCCACCAAAACCAAAACCAAACTCACTGCCATTGAGTAGGATCTGACTCATAGTGACCCCTCCTTGGGTTTCTGAAGTGGTATCACTACAGAAGTAGATTGCCCAACCTTCCTTCCTAGGAGCGGCTGGTGAGTTTGAACCACCAGTCTCCTGGTTAGTAGTCAAATGCCTTAGGCACTATGCCACCAGAGCTCCTGCCACCAGAGCTCCTTATTGGACAAACCTGGTCTAAATGATTAATCAAGAAGCTCAGTGCCCTCTGAGATTTGCTCTGCTCACTTCCCCAGCTTCATTCCATGCTGCTCCCACCACTGAAGGGTTAGGAGAGGTTTTCCAGACCATTCAGGGGGAGAGAATTAAATAAGCTCAAGCAATATCACACTGTCTGTAAGTTCCTGTACATATTTCATTATTTGACACACTCATACTTTCCCTTGTGCCCAGACCACACTTTCCACCATTCTTCCCCTGACCAATTCCTCATGTCTTTCATGAATAAGTTCAGCTGTCACCCCTTCAAGGAAGTATGTCAGGAGCCACAAGGCTGGTTTTTGTGCCCCATCTCTGCACTTGCACAATTTTCATAGCAGTAATTGTGTTATGTTGTAATTTTCTATTTACTTGATAGTTTTTCCTTCCATGTGACCCCTACCCTAGGTACCACAGTCTCCACTCCTATCTTGTTTCATGGATGTGGAACATATTCTACTTTTGTGCCTTCAGAATCTAGCAGTTTCTGAGCAGAATAAAAGCTTACTAAATATTGAACTAAGTGATTAATCATTGGATGTGTGCCTACCATGTAGCTAGCTAGCACTGTGCTAAATGCTAAGGGTAATGAGGTGGGTATCTCCTGCAATTTAGAGAGAGGCAGAAACTTGAAAAGAAGGTAGCCCAACCAGCTAAAGCAGATTTTTTATCATGATTCAGCACTTGAGTTTTTGCTTCAACCAGGAAATCTGGATACTTGTTTCACTGAGCTCACTAACTATGTTTATTCCAATCCAATAAATGTAACTCCAGTGGAGAAGTGATAGAAGCAGACCCTGAAGGCAGGTAAGAGCACTCCTGTGTGGCATGGCGCTACTGTGGTCTCAGGAAGTACAAGAGGCACCAGGAATACCAAGAACAATAAAACACAGCTCCTGCTCACAAGAGCTCACAGAAAAAGGGTCGTGGGGAGGGCGAGGATGAAACTACATGGAGTAACATTAATGCAAACACATGTGTACCTTACAGTGGTACCACAGAGAATGGTGCTTCTCCATTACCAGTCTGTGAAGGACGGTAGTCAAGTAAGGCTTCTTAGAACAGAGATGTTTGAAGGATCAGTAGAAGTTTGCCAGAATATCCAGTAGGTATAAATTAATGAACCAAGTGAAAAAAGAGACTTGAAACAGCATGGTGCATTTTGGAAATTGTAAGTTCTTTGAGATTCACGTGGTTGCTATTTGCCTATTGAGCTGTGTGGTTCTTCCACTAATTCAGGACTCCTGAGGGCAGCAGCTAGTTCTTCATTATATTCACAGGTCCATGGTTGGCACATATCAAGTACTCAGAGAGGGTTTGTGATCAGACTTACTGGTCTGAAAGGGACTAGAGGAGCCCTTGAGATTATTGCCCTTAGACAACCTTCTAACTTGAAACTGAAGACACTTCAGAGGCCACCATCCAGCCAAGTAATAGATAGGTTTATAAAACAAACATTACACCCATGAAGAATGTGCTCCTTAGAACAATCAACACTATGAGACCAAAAAACATTTGCTGAAAACCAAAGACGAAAAACCAAAGGAATGGTCAGGGAAACCAGAGGGATGGAAATGGGGAAACCAGGGAGGAAACGGAGAGAGTGCTGACACATTGTGGGTATTGTAAATAATGTTTTCGTAATAATTTGAATATGAACACTGATTGGGAAACTAATTTGCTATATAAATTTTCACCTAAAGCACAACAAAATGTTTTTTAAAAGAGAGAAAACTTAATGTTTGCTAAATGAGTGGAATGTAGGCTAGCATGAGGCAAGAGGCAAGAGAAAAATTCAGGCTAAGCACCTTCCTGTCCCAGGCACCTGACAGGGCACAGGGGAGACCTGACATGGTTGGGCCCCAGAGACATAGTTGCTGGTAAGCTAGTTCAGCCATCCAAGGGTCATTGGTTGGACGAATGTTCATTTTGAAGATAAAACTTACCTGAGTTCTTGATGGAGCAAACTGTTCCAAGGCTGAAAGGAAAGAGGAAAATGGTCATTTTCATAAATCAACCCAAATCAGTCCTCTGCTCTTTGGTTAGAGATCATTAGAGACGAGGCCAAAAAATGAAGGGGACGAGACCTCAGCACAGATTGAAGGCAGACACTGACAGCAGAAAGTTCTATGAACTCTTGCCAGTGGAGCTGAAGGTCAACAAGAAGAGAAAACAAGCCTTTCTGAAGGGCCAGTGTGGGTCAGAGGAAGTATATGATTTGACTTAGAAAAATACAATGCTATCTGTGTGCCTTTCCATGAACACATTTATGGAATAAGTGAGTAAAATAACTGGTGGTATTTGGACAATGTTTCCACAGGCAAAATTGGTGCCTAAGGCATTTGACTGTTAACCAGAAGCCTGGCGGTTCAAACCCACCAGCCACTTCTCAGAAGGAAGATTGGGCAATCTACTTCCATAATGATACTGCCTCAGAAACCCAAGGAGGGGTCGCTTTTAGTCAGATCCAACTCGACGGCAGTGTTGTTGTTTTTATTTTTTTGGTAAGTGTGCAACACAAATGCTGAGAATTATCGCTTACTTGCTTATCACGTACCCTTTGATCAAGTATCAGCTCTCACGTGATCTAGATTTGGCTCTATTATAAATTATGACCCAATGACCATATTATATCCCCTCATTTATCCAGTAATCATGCTTGAGGCCATTGACTGTTTGGAATCCAGCCAAGGATCCTGGGGAAAACAAAAAGTACCAAAGCATTTAAAATGCCTTTAACTCACACACTCCCCTTTGAGGGAAGCCCTGAAAGTCTTTATTTAGGGCCTATTCATTTTTATTTTACATATAAATCTAGCCAATTAGAAGGCAGCACTGGTAGAAAAGTCAGTCAGATGAAGCTTGTTTTATATCTCTGCTGTTTTAGTTACAGGTTATTAACTTCTTTGAGTCTCAGTGTTCTCATCTGTAAGATAGGAGTGGTGATACCAGCTCATACAGTAATTGTGAGGACTGAGTAGCTGCCATGTTGAGTGCTCTTTGGCACACAGGACTTGGTACAGATTTGGCCGCATGAAAGACTCACTGCTAGACACAAGGGTATCAATAACAGCAAAACTTGATCGTCGTCAGAGAGGAGATAGGAGACAATTACAGAAAACAGAGATAGGAACTGAGGTGGTTTGGTGTAAAGGCAACTAACTCATGAATGGTCCAACAGCATCCTGTAAGAAAAGCATGAACTATGCCCCTCTCAGGATGTATATTCAAGAGTACACCAACCTATCAAGAAAAGATGAAGTCAGATTCTACTCACCATACCTAAAAATGCTAAGATGGACATAACACATGCCTGAGGCTTAAAAGGTTTAAAACTTAATAATATTTTCATGTTTCTTATTTGAATGGGGTAAAATCCAGTCATTTGGAGAGTTCACTCACTCAAAACAGTTTAATATTTGCTAATGTTGTGAGGTAAGTGAAGTATTTTAATAGAGTGTTTCTACTCTGATACGTTGACGGCACAACTTTGCTCACTGAAAGTGAGGATGACTTGAAGCACTTACTGATGAAGATTGAAGACTACAGTCTGCAGTATGGATTACACCTCAATACGAAGGAAACAAAAATCCTCACAACTGGACTAATAAAGAGCATCATGATAAATGGAGAAAAGATTGATGTCGTCAAAGACTTTATATTACTTAGTTCTACGACCAACACCAATGGGAGCAGCAGCCAAGATATCAGATGATGTACAGCACTGGGCAAATCTGCTGCAAAAGACCTCTTTCAAGAGCTGAAGAGCTAAGATATCTCCTTGAAGACTAAGGTGTGCCTGACACAAGCCTTGGTATTTTCAATTGCCTCATATGCATGTGAGAGCTGGACAGTGAAAAAGGAAGACCAAAGAAGAGTCGATGTTTTTGAGCTGTGGTGTTGAGAAAGAATGCAAAGTACCATGGACTGTTAAAAGAACTAACAAATCTGTCCTGAAATGGTCCTTGGAAACTAGAATGGCCAGACTTCATCTCATCTAGTTTGGTCATGTTGTAAGAAGGGACCATTCTTGGTAAAGTGGAGGATCAATGAAAAAGGGGAAGGCCCTTAACGAGGTGGATTGACACAGTGGCTGCAAAAATGGGCTTGGGTATAGCGAAGATCGCGGAGCTGGCACAGGGCCTGGCAGTGTTTCATTCTGCTGTGCATATAATTGCTATGAGTCAGAGATGACTCAACTGCACCTAACAGCAACAACAACTCTTATTAGTAGAAATAAAGTGTCTAGTTATAAAGTGTATCCACAAATGAATAATATTTAAAAGTAACCATAACAAAACCAAAGCAGAGAGATAAAGGAATTAGACTAAATATAACCAGTGAAAAAGAAGTAGAACCTGAGCACTTGAGCTGACCTAGTTGAAAAACATTAGGTAGGTGCCTAGCAGGTGCCAGGTGCTGTCCTAGGTGCTTACGTAGTCTGTCTGACTTCATTCTCTCAGCAATTCAGTGAAATAAGTATTGGACTCCATATGTATTGAGCAACTAGTACTTCCAACACAGTAACCAGAAACATATGGTTCCTGCCCTCATGGAGAATCCTCCACATTATAGAGGATAATGGAGCTGAGGCTCCATTATCTCCATTACCACCAGTTGCCATTGAGTTGATTCTGACTCATGGTGACTCAATGTGTGTCAGGGTAGAACTGTGCTCCATCAGGTTTTCAAAGGCTAACTTTTTGGAAATAGATTTCCAGGCCTTTCTTCTGAAGCACCTCTGGGTGGACTCAAACTTCCAACCTTTCTGTCAGCAGCAGAGTGTTTCAACCATCTATGACTCAGGGACTTGAAACTGAGGCGTAGAGAGGGAAAATGCTCTGTTCCAGGTACTTCCTACTGAATTGTCTGCATTTACATTATTTTCATTCTCACCATAACCCCAGATGTGGGTACATAAATTACCCCCACTATACAGATGTAGAAATGGAAGTTCAAGATCACACAGCCAAGAAGTGGAAAAGCTGGGATTCAGGCCCTTCATCAAGTTGTTACATTCCCTCCAAGGTAGCACCTAGCACAGTGCCCAGCAGGGAGTAGAAGCCCACAAATATACATCTAAGGGTCTGATCATTTTCTTGAAAGCACAAGATATACAAATTCAGTGCCCAAGAACTATTCTCCTAGAAAAAGACAGGTATTAAAGGTGAGTGGGTACTGGCTGCTGTAGATAAGGGGCTGGGTATAGACTAGGACCTCCCATCTCATTTCACATCTTCTGCCTCTGACATTGCAGGGCTCAGCTTTCAGAATCTTAGCATCTTGAGTCTGGAAAAGCTTTACAAATAGAAAACCAAAAACAAAGAAGAGCTTCCCTCCCTCCTGAAAGAAACTAGAATTAAATCTGTACACCTGTTTTACTTTACGTAGTTATAAAGTTGTTAAGGAAAAAGGAAACCATACCTTTTGGAGTTCTTCAATTTTGATTTCATAAAGTGCTAAAATAAATATGAAAACAAAATTATTCCAAGGCAGTTAACGCACCTATTTCTTATACTACCCAGGATTAAAGCAATTACGAAAGACTGCAGGATTCCATTTATGAGCCGTCAGAGTATTGATCTGTATGAGGCTTTATCTCAGTGGTTTGGGAAATTCTGGGTCACTGATCATGGTGTTGATTTCTCTCGGGATTTACAGGATGGAATTTACAGTCGATGAAAACATATGCAAAATGTTCAGTTTCCTGCTTTGGTAAATAAGTCAGTCCTGCTCCATGCTTAAGAGAAAAGCACTGAAATGCAGCAGCAGCAGTCAGAAGGCAAACTGGAAAGGAAAGGGACGAGTAGGCAGGCAAACAAAAGCCTAATTCCCACTTCAACAAATTGAATTCTGTATCATGCTAAAAGTGGTCTTGCTCCACCAGAATTCTGTTTTCTTAAAAAGAGCAGAACATCAACTAAGGTTTAAATGTCTTTTGATTTTTCAAATGGTTCTGTGGATTTCTTTCATGATATGGTACTAAGCTTAATTATGAACAACCATGAGCAGTGGCAAAATTTGAGACTCCACTGAAGTTCTGCCATTTCTTACCTCTGGGCTTTCAGAAAAATTACTTCATTTCTTTGAGCCTCAGTTTGCTCATCTATGATACGGAGCCCACTGGTCCCTGCCTTAAAGAGTTAAAAGAGAGAATGTGGTATCTACTAGGCATCAGAGCTGCTTAGTGAGCATAGCCCTGGACATTGTATAGAAGGTGATGCAATTTTTTAAGATAAAATTATTTTATTTTTCTTTGTTTAAAAGTTATCTATAAAAGTATCCCCACACACACACACATACACACAGCTAATGGATATGCCTGTGGAGTCAGTGGGACTCCTCCCTCTTGCTGCTAGAGTCTTGAAACTTTAGTTTAGAAAACTGACCAAACAACATATTGCATTTATAAGCCTTTATTATTCTAAACATATAATATTATTATAAAATAAATAAGTAGGTTTTCTTTAGGGACTGTTAGCAAGTAAATGTTGACACATGGAGCTAAATTTCTGCCTTGAAAATTAATAATGTGCATTTGGGTACTTGCTCACATTTTATCAAAACATTTTCTTTCACAATTACATGCTTGAAAAATTTGGTTTAGCTATTAATACGTTTAAAAACTGTTTGTGATGTAGTATCTTCCATATCCATCTGAAGTATGGATTTGTTTTCCAGTTTTAAAAATGGTAATTGCCTCCTCAATTCAATTTTACCGTTCTCCTCCTCCCTCAATTCATTTTACCATTCTGTGTTTTTGTAAAGAACTAACAAGTCATATTCTCTTGTTCTAACTACCTGGGAAATGGGTGATGTTATTATTCTGTCTTAGACATGAGGAAGTCAAGGCTTAAGGAGTCCTTACCTGCCAAGACTAGTAAACAAAGATCATAAATCCTCAGCTAATAACGTATTTATAATTTAACAAAGTGGAGGTTCTCCAGTGGTAGGCTTTGCCATCAAAACTTGATCTCAAGATAGGAATATAAAGTACACAGGCAGAGTGACTGCAAGCCAGGGGATCAGGAAGGGGCTGATAATTGGAACAGAAGGGCATGGCTGATACCATCCCAGCCTTCTGCTCACTTTCTACTCAGAGGTATATAATTCTCCACTGAATAGTTTTATCTCAGCTAGGACTAAGAGGACAATATCAGTAAATGGCCTTTAGCAACCTCTCTGTTGTTGTTGTTGTTACGTGCCTTCGAGTCGGCCCCGACTCATAGCGAGTCCCCTCCTTGGGTTTCCCAGGCAGTATCACTACGGAAGTAGGATTCCCTATCTTCCTTCCGAGGAGTGGCTGGTGGGTTTGAACCGCCAGCCATCTGGTTAGCAGGCAAGTGACTTAGCCACTATGCTACCAGAGCTCCCTAGCAACCTCTCTAGCTGGTAGATAATAGCAGGCCCTTAACTCTTTCTCGATGAACCAACTCACCTCTTGGAGCCTCTGTACGCCCATCTGTTATACCAGGAGGCGAAATGACTACTACTAGTTATAAAGAGAGCTCTGGTGGTGTAGTACCTAAGGCATTTGACTGCTAACTAGAAGCCTGGTGGTTCAAATTCACAAGCCACTCCTCGGAAGGAAGACTGGGCAATCTACTTCCATAGAGATACTGCCTGGGAAACCCAAGGAGGGGTCGCTATGAGTCAGAATTGACTCAACAGCAATGAGTTTGGTTTGAGTATTATAAAAACAATAATACACCTACTCCTCACTTACCAATTTTCCCATTATTTGATACTTCTCATTTACAATAATAGTAAAACAAAACCAAACAAAAAAACTATTTTGTGCATTAACAAAATTATGTCTGGCAGTAACGTTTTGGCAGTAATGCCAAGGTGTGAGGCCAGAGTAATGCTGGCTGTGATGGTTAAGGTTATGTGTCAGCTTGACTGGCCCATGATTCTCAGTGGTTTGACAGTTATGCAATGATGTAATTTGGCAGTTATGTAATGATGAAGTCATTCTCCATTTTGTGAGCTGATGTGGTCATCCTCCATTTTTACATAATATCAGTTTTTGCATAATGACCTGGTTTTTGGAACCCAACCATGCCGATAAGTGAGAAGCAGGCATAATAAAAATTATCTTTTTTTTCCTTCTTCTTCTTTTCTTTTGTACTTAGCAATAACAGATGCTATGCTAAGTACTTAAGTGCATTATTTTATTTGCTTCCCATAATGATCACTAGTAATATTCCAATTTTACTGCTGAGGAAACAGACATCCACAGAAATGAAATAACTTACCCAAGGTCACTTAGCTGGGAAATGGTCTTTAAATTTTCTCTCAGCCACAGAGTCATTCACTTACAAGAAGCACCATATTTTTTTGTTTTTTATCTATATGCATTTTGTTTCCTTTTTTTGTCTTATTTCTGTGGTTCAAATTTCCAGTACTATGTTGAATAAGAGTGGTGAGTTGGGATATCCTTGCCTTGACCCTGAGGGGGGAAGCACTCCCTTTTAATTTCACTACTATGTATTACATTAGCTGTAGTTTTCTGTAAATGCTCTTTAGCAATTTGAGGAAGTTCCCTCGACTCCTTTTCTTCTAGCAGGTTTTATCACGTATCTGTGCTGAAGTTTGTCAAATGCTTTTTCTAAATAGATTGATGTGATCATGTGATTTTTCCTCTTTAGCCTGTCAGTAAGGTGGATTTCATTGATTGATTTGTGAGTACTGAACCAGCTTTGCATGCCTGAAATAAATTGCACTTGGTCATAGTGTAAAATCCCTTCTCTCTTGTGGAATTTTATTTGCTAAATTTTTGTTAAGAATTTTTATGTTTATGAGGGAAATTGATCTACAGTTTACTTTCTTTTTTTTTTTGTACTATCTTTGTGTGGTTTGTTATCAAGGTAATACTAACTTCATTAAATTAATTTAGAATTTTTCACTTTTCTTCCATTTTTGTTAATTCATCTTCAAATATTTTGTAGAATTTCTCCAATGAAACCATTTGGACCTGGAAATTCATTTTTTGGGAGTTTTAAAATTAGGGATTCAATTTCCTTAATACTTACAGTGCTGTTCAAATGATCTATTTTGGGTGAGTTGTAATAGTTTTTGCTTTTTGAAGAAATGTTCCATTTTTATTGAAGTTGTCAGATTTATGTGTGTACAGTTGTTCATAGTATTCCTTTCCTATTCTTTTGATGTCTGCAGGGTCCGAGTGAAACCCTTGTTTCGTTCTTGATACTGGTATTGTGTTTTCTTTTTGCTCAGACTTGCTAGAGGTTTGTCAGTTTTATTGAATTTTTTCAAAGAACCAATTTTTTGCTTTATTGATTTTTGTTACTGTTTTTATTTTCAATTTCATTTATTTCTGTCCTTATCTTTATTATTTCTTGGTGGCACAGTGGTTAAAGTGCTCAGCTCCTAACAGAAATGTCAGTGGTTTGAACTCACCTGCCGTTTTGTGAGAGAAAGTTGAGGCAGCCTGATTCTGTGAAGATTTATAGCTTTGGAAACCCTATGGGGCAGTTCTACTCTGTCCTATAGGATTTATATGAGGTGGAATCAACTGGATGGCAGGCAGGTTGGTTTTTTTTTTAATACTTGCTTTGAGTTTACTTTGCTCTTATTTTTCTATGTTCTTGGAGTAGGATCTTAGATTATTGATTTGAGACTTTTCCTCTTTTCTAATGTAAGTATTTAGGATAAATTTCCCTTTTAATCCTATTTAATCCGTGTCCAAAAAAATTTGACTTCATTTTTTATTCAGTTCAATTTTTTTTCCTTTCTTTAAACCTCCTCTTTGACCCACCAATTATTTGAAAGTATTTTATTTCATTTCTAAGGGATTTTCCTGTTATCCATATCTCGTTTGATTCCATTGTGGTCAGAACATATTCTAATAACTTCAGTGCTTTTAAATTTTCTGAGGTTTATTTTATAGCCCAGCATATGGTCTATCATAGTATATGCTCTATGGGCATTTGACAAGAATGTGTAGTCTGCTCTTGTTGTGTGGAGTGTGGAGTGTTCTATAACTATGGTTTACATTGTGTTGTTGAGTTCTTCTATCTTGGATGATTTTGTCACATTGTTCTATCAAGTGTGGAGAGAAGGATGCTGAAGTCTAGTCTCATAGGCAATAATTATCTGTTTGTATATTTCTCATTTCAGTTTTGGCTTCACATATTTTGCAGCTCTGCTGTTCAGTGCATATACATTTAGGATTGTTGTCTACTTGGTGGGTTACCCCTTTTATCATTACGTCATGGTTCTCTACGTCTCTGGTAATTTTCTTTGCTCTGGAGCCTACTCTGTCTGATATTAATATAGCCACACTTGCTTTCTTTTGATTAATGTCCCATGATATATCATTTTCCATCCTTTTACTTTCAATCTACTTACACTGTAATGCATTCTATAATACTTAAAGAGAGTATCTTGTAGACAGCATATATTTTTTTAATGTTTTTATATATAATAATGATTTTTAAGGTACTATGCCAATCTTTGCCTTTTAATTTTAATTTAGATAATTTACATTTAATGTAATTACTGGTGTGTTATTGGGGAGCGCAGGTGGTGTAGTACCTAAGGCATTTGACTGCTAACCAGAAGGCTGGCAGTTCAAATCCACCAGCCACTCCTTGGAAGGAAGATTGGGCAATCTACTTCCATAGTGATACTGCCTTGGAAGTCCAAGGAGGAGTTGCTATGAGTAGGATCTAACTCAATGGCAGTGAGTGTGTGTGTGTATGTGATGTGTTATTGATATATTAGGGCTTAAGTTTGCCCTTTATATTTTGTTTTCTGTTTTTTTTAATTCCTTTGTTTTATATTTCCTATCTTCCTGTGTGTTTTTGAATACTTTTTAGAATTTGTTTTGATTTATCTATAGTATTTTTAATAGCGTCTCCTTGTATAGCTTTGTGTGGTTGTTCAAGATAATCCATTGTATATGCATAATTTATCACAGTCTATATTGGTGTGGACATTTTATTTACTCAAGTGAAGTGTAGATACCTTATCTGCCTTTATATCCCTTTACTCTTCCTCCTTATAATATAACTGTCTTAAATATTTCCTTTTCATATGTTTAAAACTATATCAGACAGAGTTATACATTTTTGCTTCTGCCATCAAATGTAATTTAGAAAACCCAAGAGAAGTAAAATGTATTACATTCACCGATGTTTTTATTCTTTCAATTGTTCTTTCTTCCATTTTGATGGTCCAAAGTTATTTCTTTATGTCATTTCTTTTCTGTATAGAAAAATTCCTTTAGCCATCTTCTTAGGCTAGGACTGCTAAAATTAATTTTCTTAATTTCAGTTTTCTTTCTTCTGAGAATGTCATTATTTCCTCATTTTTACTTGAAGAATGTTTTAGTAATAGGATTCTGGGTTGACATTTATTTATTTATATATTTTTTAGCACTTACAAGAGTGTCACTTACTTTAGCCTCCATGATTTCCGATGAGAAATTCATAATTATTTGAACTGTTGCACCCCTAAAGATAAGGTGTTCTCTCTCACTGCTTTCAAGATATTTTTCTCTGTCTTTATTTATTTATTTATTTTTGGAGTTTGATTATATGTCATGATAAAGATTACTTTACGTTTATCCTATTCGGAGTTTGCTTGGCTTCTTGACTCTAGTTTTTGTCTTTTGCCAAATTTGGGAAATTTTTAGTCATTATTTCTTCAAGTACTTTTTCAATCTAACCTGCTTTCTTCTTTCCTGTCAGGACATTGTGACCCAAATGTTAGATCATCTGTCATAGTTCTATGGGCCCTGACATATTGATCTTTTTTTTTTTTTTTTTCAGTCTATTTTTTCTCTGTTGGTGCCTATTGTTTTTTTTTTTTTTTTTCATTCAAGTTGAGATTTTTCTGATGTCTGATTTGATGAGTGATTTTAAATGGAAATCTGGGACTTTTGGGTGTTATGATACCTTAGATATTATTTAATCCTACTATTTTAGCTGACTTTTTCTGACACCACACAAAAAGGCAAGGGAGAACACCATCTTTCTGCACAAGTAGGTCTAAGCTTTGTCAGAAATATCAGAGGCAGAAAGACTTAGCTCTGAACCAGTGGTCAGACACATTAAATAAATCCTCTGCTCTTTTTAAGATCAAATACAGGCGCCTAATTCTCATGGTCTGTTATCTCTCTCTCCACACACTAAGTAACCAAGGAACTTCAAGAGAGACAGTATAAGAAAGGTGATGAAGTTTCTCTAGGAGGAGAAGGGAGTAAAATGAATCACCATATCCTGATTTTCCCTTCCATGTATCTACCAAAGGTAAAACATCTCAGTAGATTGTTGAGAGAGAGAGAGAAAAGAAGAGGTTGAAAGAAGGCTGCAACAGGAATCATGAGATAGCATTGATGCCCAAGTATATTTATTTATTTAAGAGATCAGACAGAGAGAGAGAGAGAGAGAAAGAAAAAGAGAGGGAGAGAGGAACAAAGGAAGAGAGAGAGAGGTAGTAAAGCAGTGTGGCTATGCATTTTAAAACTTAGTTAAAGGGGGAAAAACATTTTTGACACATTTTCTTTCCACATAGGGTTATAATATTAATTGGCTTAGCAGACTTACAATCAGCAATTTCTTTTGTGGTGCACAGGTTAATGGAGTTGCCAGAGTGTCTCAGATACGAAATTGTTGCCTCATAATTATGTGATTCTTCAAATTCAGCACTGAGAAGTATGGAGAAAAAAAGTTACTTCTTAAAAAAACATTTATTTAAACACCTTTAAAGACGTTTTGTATTTCTTCTCCATTAGGGAAGTACTATGTCTGGTCAACATGCTGAATTAAGCAGATATGGACAGTATGCCATCCCTATTTTAAACAGATAGGAATACTGGATAAAACATAACAGTTCAAAGAATTTACAAAGAATACACAGCTCACCTAGAAATAAAGTGAAATCCCCATGTTCCAGACACAGAGAAGGAACTCACAAAGTCATAGTGAGAATTGAAGCGAAGGAATTCTAAGGGAATTTGGGACCAGATAAGGAAAGGTCTTAATGACTGGGGACTAGGGAGTTAATGTCTGAGTTAGAAGCCAAGACCAAGTCTCAGGCCTTATATGAATGGGAAGCTGTAACTGAGCTATCAGCACAAAGTCCAGGGTGCCCACATGCTGCCCCAATTGTGAAACACATTCTAAAAAATATCTATCCACTCTTCCAGGACAGGAGCAGGAGAGCTAGCTATCTGACGGTGCCCACTGGAGTTAAATAATTACCTCTGAGAAATCAGAAACCCAATAGCAAAGTACAGGTGTGGGGTCTAAACTCACACTATGTGTGTATTTCAGAGACGTAAAGCCAAAACTAAGACTGGAAACCCAAACCACTTTGCAAAGGCAGATCTGAAATCACTCAATAAAGATACTTCCACAAACCCAAATTTCCAAAGAAAATCCCCACCCTAAGTAAATATATGGTCAAAAACTGCAAACCACACAATGAGATGTACTACTGTGAGAGTCAATAGACACAATTAATGGGAGAATTAATTAATTAACAGAATAATGTGGAAATGACTTAAAACAAATATGTTTTAGGTATTCAAGGAAATAAAAAGAGGAGTAAAAGCCGTTAGGCAAAAACAACATAGTGAAAAAATGAACATGTAAATTTTGGGGCAAAAGGAAAGAGTTATGGAAATAAAAATTACAGTTCTTGGAAAAAAAAATTCATGTAGAGATTGACAAGTAAACTAGACACAGTGGCAGAGAAAAATGAATTCGTTAAATCTGAAAAAATCACCCAGAATGTAACATGGAGATGTAGTTGTTAGCTGCTATCAATTCAACTCTGACTCATAGCAATCCCATGTGACAGAGTGGGATTTTCTAGGCTGGAGCTCTGATGGTGTAGTGGGTAAGACGTTTGGCTGCTAACCAGACGGTCAGTGGCTCAAGCCCACCAGCTACTCTGTGCGAGCAAGATGAGGCAATCTCCTTTTCTAAAGATTTACAGCCTGGGAAACCCAATGGGAGTCACTGTGAGCTGGAATCCCCTCTGTGGTAGTGGGTTTGGTTTTTTGGTTTTAACCTTTACAAGGAGCAGATCATCGAGTCTCCTGTTCCATGGAGCCCTTGGTGGGTCCAAACCTCTAACTTTTGGGTTAAGCTGAGTGCTTAACTATTGCACCATCAGGGCTCCTTTTTGAGCTATCAACAGATGTAAATATTGAAAGAGAATCTACAAGATACAGAGGATAGAATTGACAGGTCAAACATACATGTACTGTGAATTCTAAAAGAGAATGAGGAGAACGGGCAATATTTAGATGCTGCTAACCAAGACTTTTCTGAAACTGAAAAGGGACATCAGTCCTAATACAGCAACTTTAACAACAACAACAAAAATAAAACCAAACTCACTGCCATCGAGTAGATTCTGACTCATAGCAGCCCCTCGTTGGGTTTCTGGGGGTGTAACTGTACAGAAGTAGATTGCCCAAACTTCCTTCCTAGGAGTGGCTGGTGGTTCTGGTTAGCAGTCTAATGCCTTAGGCACTATGCCACCAGAGCTCCTAACTTTAATAATGAGAAATGAAAATAATCCATACTCATACAGTTTGTAATGAATTAGCATACATCAAAGAAAAAAAAAGGAGAATTATTTAAAAGCTGAGTGAGAGAAAAGAGAGGTTATCTACTAAGGAAAAACAATCAGACTGTCAATACACTTCTCATTAGCAACAGAATGGTAAAATCTGTAGATATCTTAAAGTGCTGAGGAAAGACCTTCAAGAGTGAGGGAGAAGCAAAGACATTTTCCTAATACAAAAACATGCATTTACTACTCACAGATCCTCACTGAAATAAGTCACTAAATGATGCACTTCAACCAAAAAAAAAAAAAAACCCAACACATTTTTTTTGAAATCCAAATGATGCAGGATATAACAAATAGTGATGAGCAAAGAAATGAACAAACCAATTGGTAAGTCTAAATAAATACTGACCGTTAAAATGACTAAGGAGCTCTGGTGGCACAGAGCAAAAGATTTTTGGCTGCTAACCTGAAGCTTAGTAGTTCAAACCCACCAGCTGCTCCATGGGAAGAAGATGAAGCAATCTACTTCTGGAAAGATATGCAGCCTTGGAAACTCAATGGGGGTCACTGTGAGTCAGAATCAACTCAGTGGCAGTGGGTGGGTTAAAATAGGTGGGTTAAAATTAATTCTGAAACAAAATCATAAGACCAGGCTTACTGGTGCGATAAAGAGTGGTAAAACCACCCAAGACTATGGCCCTGAGTCACCCTTTGGGCCTGGAACTGAACTCACTCCGTGGCTTGGCATAGTGCCTAAGGCATTTGACTGCTAACCAGAAGGCTGGCAGTTCAAACCCACCAGCCACTTCTTGGAGGAAGATTGGGTAATCTACTTTCATGGACATACTGCCTTGGAAACCCAAGGAGGGTTCACTAGAGTCTAATTGACTCTACAGCAGTGAATTTGGTTTGGTTTTGGTTCCCATGGCTTAACTCTCAGCCAAACAATAGGCAGACCTATGAGCAAAGCACCTACACCAGGGAGATGCACTCCTTAGAACAATCAACCTTAGGAGATCAGAAAGGCATCATTTGCACAGGGAGAAAGGCAGGGAGACAGGAATGCATAGGCAAGCAGGACACAGGGGAAAGGTAACCTCGGGGAGGAAGTGGGAGGAGAGCTGTTACACTTTAGGGAATGTAACAAACAGCATCACAAAACAAAATGTGTATGAACTGTTCAATGTAAAACAAATCTGCTTTGTAAAATTTCACTCCAATTGCAATAAAAATTTGAAAAACAAATCAGCCAAAAAAGAGACTAAATTGGAGAAGCTTAAAATAAGTTGCAACTGAAACAAATAACATGAAAGATATTGGAAAGGGCTATGGGAGTCAGGGCATTCTCAGGCCTTTGGATTATTTAGAAGTAGGATAGAGGTTTCTGATTAATATTGGACTTTGTTAATTGTGGATGTCAAAAATTAAAGTGTAACTACTAAAAAGAATAGTTATAGAATATTTAACTTCTAAACTAATATAAAAGGAATATTCAATGAAAAAGCTTGCAAATTAAAAAAGAAGTCAGAAAAGAAAGAAAAAGTACAAGTAAAGAAATTGCATGGTAAATACAAAATATAATGGGAAAATGTCCAAATAGATCAAAATCACAAGACAAGCACAGATTAAACTACTCTAAAAAAGTATAAAATAAAATATCTGGTTGAGTATTTTAAAAATCCTGCTACATGCTGCTAATCAGCAAAACAAAAGCTTCCAGATAAATAGATTGCAAAAGAGATGAAAGCCAAACACCAACAGAGAGCTGAGACAGGCTTCTTAATACTAGACCCTATTTAACAGGACTGACCAAGAAAATGAGGGAAGGTGTGCACGTGCAAACACACAAATTAAAGATAAGAAGCAGACTACACCAGAGAAAATTTTAGGTTTTTAAAATCTAAGACTATGTTATGATCAGCTCTCTGACAACAAACTTGAAAATTTACAAACAATGGACAATTTTACAGCCAAGTATAAAATTACTGCAGCGAATCCATAAGAAATAGAAAATAGTCTAATAATCTTTTAAGGGTTTAAATTAGTAGTATACATGCCACTGCCCCCTACTCTTGACTGCCACCATCAATCCATCTCTATTTTTGCTGTAAACCAAATAATTCTACAGGCAAGTTTTAACAAACAGTTTCAGAGAATAGAAAAAAAAAAAAAAAGGAAAATCTGCCCTGCTCATTTAGGAGGGCAGAATCATATTGATATGAAAACCACAAAGTTATCAAATGGTAAAAGAAAAATACAGCCCAAGGTCAAGGAATTCTATTTAAACTCACTAAATAAATGAATTAACTTTTAATTAAAACTAACACAAGAGCAACTGAAATTTATTCTAAGAACAACTAAAATTTATTCCAAGAATGCAAGATGATCTAGCATTTAAAAAGCTATCTTATAATTCATCAAATGAAAGAACAAAAGAGAAAAAAAATAGATAATTTAAATAGGTGAAAAGGGCATTCTACATATATAAACTTTCTTAACTAGATTAACCTACAACAAAAATACTTAATGGTGAAATATAATAAACAAAATGTTAATATCTAAACTCTATCAAGAACTCTTGCTAGTCAATAGGAAGGAAAAATAAATCCATAGAAAATTGAACAACAAGATATGATACACATCACAGAAAAGTAAATTTGAACACCTTAAAATAATAAATTCTCAATCTCATGGTAAACAGGAAAATGGAACTCAAAACAGTGCGAATCTAGTTCACTCTCATCAGGCAAGAATCCCAAAGTTTGACAATAACACCTCATATTAGCAGGACTACGGAGAAACAGGAACTTACTATACTAGTTTGAGAGCATGAATAGGCACAAACATTTCGCAGGACAGTTTTTCACCATCTACTAAAACTGAAGTTGTTTATATACTATTATTTAACAATTCTACTTCTAAGTACAAACCCTAAGAAACTTGCTTCTATCACCTGGAAACATGAGCACAGTTACTACAGTTTCATTTGAAATGTTGAAAATCTGAAACAATCTAATTATCCTTCACTAAAGGACCTCATGAACAAGTTATGATATTTCCATATGGTAAAGCACAATGCAACACTTATAATAAATAAATTAGACTTACATGCATCAACTTGGATAGAATATGGACAAAAAAAGAAACAAAACCAAACTCACTGCTGTAGAGTCGAATCGGACTCACAGCAATCCCTCCTTGTGTTTCTGAGGCGGTATTTCTACAGAAGTAGGTTGCCCAATCTTCCTTCTGAGGAGTGGCAGGTGGATTTGAACCACCAGCCTTCTGGTTAGCAGTCAAATGCCTTAGGCACTATGCCACCAGAGCTCCTAGAATATGGACACACAGTTTTGAAAAATATCAAATTGTAGAAGGATAAAGTAAGATGCTGTTTATATAATAGTTTAAAATACTGTATGTTGAATGGATATATGATCGGTAGGTTGTTAATGTATTAAAAAAAATGCACTAAATTGATACACTTCTAGATTCTTGATAGTAGTTGCTTGTAGGAGAAGGAAAGGAAATGGGATTAGGGAGTGAACAAAATGAATTTCAACTATATTCATAAGAAATGGAAAAATAACACCTAAATCACATCAAATATGGACGTTATTGTTATTTAGGTGCCGTCAAATTGGCTCCAACTCATAGAGGCCCTATGTACAACAGAACAAAACACTGCCTGGTCCTGTGTGTGCCAGCCTCACAGTCTTTGCTATACCTGAGCCATCATTGCAGCTTCTGTGTCAATCCATCTCATTGAGGGCCTTCCCCTTTTTTGTTGACCCTCCACTTTACCAAGCATGGTATCTTTCTGCAGGGAATGGTGCCTCTGACAACACGACCAAAATAGGTGAGATGAAGTCTGGTCATTCTCGCTTCCAAAGAGTATTCTAGCTGCACTTCTTCCAGGTCAGATTTGTTAGTTCTTCTGCAGTACAAGATACTTTCAGTATTATTCACCAGCACTACAATTCAAAAGCATCAACTCTTCTTCAGGCTTCCTTATTCACTGTTCAACTTTCACATGCATATGAGATGACTAAAAATTCCAAGGCTTGGGTTAGGTGCACCTTAGTCTTCAGAGAAATCTTTGCTCTTCAGCACTTTAAAGAGATCTTTTGCATCAGATTTGCCCAGTGTCATCTGATATCTTGACTGCTGCTTCCATTGGTGTTGATTGTAGTTGTTGTTGTTGTTATGTGCCATCGAGTCAAACCCGACTCAGAGCGACCCCTCCTTGGGTTTCCGAGGCAGTATCACTATGGAAGTAGGATTGCCCAACCTTCCTTCTGAGGAGTGGCTGGTGGGTTTGAACTGCCAGCCGTCTGGTTAGCAGGCAAGTGTCTTAGCCACTATGCTACCAGAGCTCCCGGTGTTGATTGTAGAACCAAGTAATATGAAATCTTTGACAACATCAATCTTTTCTCCATTTATCATGATGCTGCTAATTGGTTCAGTTGTGAAGATTTTAGTTTTCTTTATGTTAAGGTGTAATCCATACTTCATATTTAATCTTCATTAGTAAGTGCTTCAAGTCATCTTCACTTTCAGCAAACAAATTGTGTAGTCTGCATATCACAGTTGAGTCTTCCTTCAACCTTCTGCTGTGTTCTTCTTCATATAATCCAGCTTCTTGGATTATTTGCTCAGCATGCAGATTGAATAAGTATGGTGAAAATATACAACCCTGATGCACTTCCTTCCTGACTTTAAACCATTCAGTATCCCCTTATTCTGTTAAAACAACAGCTTCCTGGTTTATGTACAGGTTCCTCGTAAGCACAATTAAGTGTTCTGGAATTCTCATTTTTCTCAATGTTATCCATAATTTGTTATGATCTGCACAGTCAAATACTTTTGCATAGTCAATAAAACACCAGTAAATATCTTTCTGGTATTCTTTGCTTTCAGCCAAGATTCATCTGACATCAGCAATGATATCCTTTGTTCCATGTCCTCTTCTGAATCCAGCTTGCATTTCTTTACTTCTTCTTCTTCTTCTTTTTTAATTTTATTGTGCTTTGGGTGCAAATTTACAGAACAAAATTTGTTTTACATTCAACAGCTCCTGTACATTTGATTTCATGCCCCATTTACCATCCCTGACCATAACAAACTCTCTTCCCCTCCCATCCTTGTGACTACCCCCTCCCTGTGCCCTTCTTATCTATGCAATCCTGTCTGGCCAGCTTTCCCTCTATAGGAATGCTGCCCCTCTGGTACCCCATGGTCGATTGCTCTAAGGGGTATATTTCCTTAGAGTAGGTGAGTGCATTGCCCTTGGGTAGGTATTATGCATATAGTTCTTTCTACTGTTGAGCTGAAAGCCAATCTATGGGAGTGAATCCAGTTCCAGGCCCAAAGGGTAACCTGGGGCCATAGTCTTGGGGCATCTACCAGACTCTATCCAACCAGTAATTCTGGTCATTTCTGTGTTTTTGAATTTTGTTCCACACTTTTCCTCCCACTCTATCCAAGATCTCTAGTTTTGATCCCTTTCTGAGTGGTTGGCATTGGTAGCCGGGCACCATCCAGTTCTTCTGGTCTTGGGGCCCATCATATCCTTGGATGAATTGTTTCCAGATGCCTTTGATTTTCTTCACTCTTCTTTGCTTCAGATGAGAGGAGACCAATAGTTGCATCTTAGAGGGCCGCTCAAAAGCTTTTAGGACCCCAGTTGCTACTCATCAAAGTACGTTGTGGAACTAGATTATGTACTATGTTGTGTGAGTTGAGCTTGGTGCCAGTTTGCATTTCTGGAAGTTCCCTGTCAATATACTGCTGCAACAGTTTTTGAATTATCTTCAGCAAAATTTTACTTGCTTGTGATACTATTGTTCGATAATTTCCACGTTCTGTGGGATCACTTTTCTTTAGAATGGGCACAAATACAGATCTCTTCCAGTCAGTTGGCCAGGTAGCTGTCCTCCAAATCTCTTGGCATAGCCCAGTGAGTGCCTTCAGCACAGCATCCATTTGTTGAAACATTTCAGTGGGTATTCTGTCAATTCCTGTAGCCTTGTTTTTTGCCAATTCCTTCAGTGCAGCTTCGACTTCTTCCTTCAATACCATTGGCTCTTGATCATATGCTACCTCCTGAAATGAATGAATACAGACCGATTCTTTTTTGGTACAGTGACTATGTATTCCTTCCATGTTCTTTTGGTGTTTCCTGCATCATTCAACATATTGCCCATGGAATTTTTCAATCTTGCAACTTGAGGCTTGAATTTTTTCTTCAGTTCTTTCAGTTTGAGAAATGCTGAGTGTGTTCTTCCCTTCTAGTTTTCTAAATCCAAGTCTTTGCACATTTCATTACAATAATTGACTTTGCTTTCTTGAGCTGTTCTTTGAAGCCTTCTGTTCAGCTCTTTTATCTTGTCATTTCTTCCATTTGCTTTAGCTATTCTCCATTCAAAAGCAAGTTTCAGTGTCTTTTCTGACATCCATTTTGGTCTTTTCTTTCTTTCCTGTCTTTTTAATGACCTTTGTTTTCTTCATGGATAATGTTCTTGATGTCATCCCACAATTCATCTGGTTTTCAGTCACTAGGTTCTATGCATCAAATCTATTCTTTAGATGATCTCTAAATTCAGGTAGGATATAATCAAGGCCATATTTTTGCTGTAGTAAACTTATTTTAATTTTCTTCAGATTCCACTTGAACTTGCATAGGAGCAATTGATGGTCTGTTCCACTGTCAGCTCCTGGCCTTGTTTTGGCTGAAGATATTTAGCTTCTCCATCACCTCTTTCCACAGATGCAGTCAATCTGATTCCCATGTACTCCATCTGGTGAAGTCCACGTGTATAGCTGCCATTTATGTTGTTGAAAAGAGGTATTTGCAATGAATAAGTCGCTGGTCTTGCAAAATTCTATCACGTGATCTCCAGAATTGTTTCTATCACTGAGGCCATATTTTCCAACTACTGGTGAGTTTTCTTAGTTTCCAACTTTTGCATTCCAATCCCCAGTGATAATCAACACATCTTGATCAAATGTTTGGTCAATTTCAGACTGCAGAAGTTGGTAAAAATCCTCAAAAAAATCACATCAAATATGGATAGTAGAGAGGAAAACAAATTACTCATAATCCTACCACCTTAACACAAGTGCAGTGTTAACATTTTGTTATTCTTTCATCCTGATCCTGATTTTTTCCATTTTTATGTGGATTTACATATTTGTTATCAAAGGATGTGAAAAGGTTTGAGTTCTCTCACCATGCTCTCCATTTATTATTATGCCATAATCATGTTCTATGCAATTGTTTTCCCTCATTTGGTTGACCATTTTGGATATTTTCAAGTTTTTCTTTTTCTTTTTTTTTCACATGTTCTCTGTAATATTTTAAAAGATGTGGAAAAAGAAAATTTATGAGCACTAATGCACCAATAACTTTCTTCCGTACTATTGAGTTTTCCTCCCCCTGCATGAAGTAATGGACATTAACTTAAATTATAGACTTTGCCATGTATCTCATGCTCCAGTGGCCTAACAATTTCATTGGGTGTCTTGTAAATTAACTTTATTAATAAGAAACAATTTGTGGAAAAATTAGAAGAATATGTCTAATCAATTTCTTGGACTGCTTTTGTCAAAAATGAATAAATGTCTGACATCAGATGATCATAATGAAATAATTTGAACCAAATGTTAAAAAAAGTCATTGTTCAGATCAATTGGCTTTACAGAGAGGCAGTCACAGGATTAAAGTTAAAAGGAAAAAAAAAAATTGTAGATGGATTTAAAGGAGCTCTGAGAGCATAGTGCCTAAGGCCCTTGACTGCTAAACAGATGGCTGGTGGTTCAAACCCACCAGCTACTCCTCGGAAGGAAGGTTGGACAATCTACTTCTGCAGTGATACCACCTTGGAAACCCAAGAAGGGGTCACTATGAGTCGATGGCACACAACAACAACAACAACAACAGATGTATTTAAACCTACCTTCCTCATTAGTACCTGAACATGTCTTTTATCTTTTGCCCCAGTTCATTAAAATCAGATTTGAAATCCATCATGGTGTAATAGGAACTCTAGTAGCATAGTGCCTAAGCACCTGACTATTAACCAGAAGGCTGGTGGTTCAAACGCACCAGCCACTGCTCAGAAAGAAGACTAGGCAATCTACTTCAGTAGAGATACCACCTCGGAAACCCAAGGAGGGGTTACTATGAGTTGGAATCAACTCAACAGCAGTTCATCATCATTATGATCACACTTAATCAATATGTATAATGAACAAATAATCTGAGAAGCTGGACTATATGAAGAACATGGTATCAGGACTGAAGGAAGACTCATTAACAATTTGCTGTATGCAGACAACACAACCTTGCTTGCTGAAAACAAAGAGGACTTGAAGTACTTACTAATGAAGATCAGACTACAGCCTTCAGTATGGATTACATCTCAATATATAGAACATATATTGAGATATATATTCAATATATATATATCAAAATATTATATATATATATCCTCACACTGGATCAGTAAACAACATCATGATAAATAGAGAAAAGTTTGAACTTGTCAAAGATCTCATTTTACTTGGATTCACAATCAACCCACATAGAAGCAGCAGTGAAAAATCTAATGATGGATTTCATTGGGCAGATCTGCTGCAAAAGACCTCTTTAAAGTGTTAAAAAGCAAAGATGTCATTTTGAGGACTAAGGTGCACCTGACTCTTGCCATGGTATTTTTAATCACCTCATGCATATGGAAGCTGGACAACAGAAAAGGAAGACCAAAGAAGAATTGGTAATTTTGAATTATGGTATTGGCAAAGAATAATGAATATGCCACGGACCACCAGAAGGATGAACAAATTTGTTTTAGAAGACATACATCCAGAATGCTTCTTAGAAGTGAGGATGGTGAGATTTTATCTCATGTACTATGGACATGTTATCAGGGACCTGTCCCTGAAGAAGGACATCATGCAGGGTAAAGTAGTGGGTCACTGAAAATGATGAAGAAACTCAATGAGATGGATTGACACAGTGGCTGCAACAATGGACTCAAGTATAGTAACAATTGTGAAGATGATGCATGACTGCACAGTGTTTCATTCTGTCTACACGGGGTCAGTAGGAGTCAGAGCAGTCTTGATGGCACCTAACAATAACTATATACTTCAACTTCATTATTTCCACATTTATGAAAATATCTGCCTTTAGTCTATCACTAGGATTTTAGACATTATTGGAAGGCAGTATAGAATAATAGATGGACCTGGAGCTTGGAGTCAGACATCAGCATTTCAATTCTAGCTTTTCTACTTCTAGGTATAAAGTATTGAATAAGTAACTTAACCCTACATTTCCTACTCTTTAAATAGTGATAATAAATTCTACCTTAAAGGTATATTATGGGTATTAAATGGGATATTTGCCCCCTGTACACAGGGATGCCATAAATGTATGCTAGTAATATTATTATATTGGAGGACAGAAATTATTGCTTTTTTCAAAAATAAGTTTCAAGGTTTTTATTCTGTAAAATTCTATTTTTCTTACTGGCATACACATCGGGTTCCTATCTTTCTCACTTTCTTATAGAAAGCCTCTAGTAACTTATTACATAATAAAACATTAATGTTTCTTATGATATCTTCAATATTATCTGTGTTCAAAAGCAACTTCTCCTTCAATGCAATGTGAGTGTTAAAGATTATTTACAAAACCAGGCATTTAAAATTTTTTTTGGACTCCTGGAATCCTGTCTTCAAAATAAATTTTCAAACAATCAAGGTCTCACTGGCAGAAGCAGTGACATGACCTATTGTGTTTGTATCCACTTGCCATCAAAAACTAAAATAATAACGAAAAGTTTTTTGGCAGAGTATTGCTTGGAGCTGAAACTAGACTAATAAGAAATGGAGGAAAGAGAGGATTCCATGTGAGTCCCTATTTGCATATGCAATAGCCCTGACATCATATGCAAGGATAAAAGAAGACCTCAGATTGTCCTAATTATTTAGCTTTGTTTCACAGAAGAAGGTTTTAACACTGGATATGCAAGTCAATGCAAGATATAGCATACAGAACCATGGAACTTTTTCTTTATATAAAACTTAATGCAAGGTAATATCATTCTATCCATCTCTCCTTTTCACCATCAATCTGTGTATCTGCCACTCCCTTTGTCCATCACTTAGTTATTAAATAATGATCATTTGCAAATCCATTATATGCTAGGTCCTGGGGAAACAGATATGAAAGACAAACGATTCTTTCCCTGATGGAGTTTATAGTCTAATATATATTCCTAAAAATATTTCATGTGGCAATAAGACATGGGAAAAATTATTACTGAGACACAGACAATGTGGCTGAAAATCTTTATACCCACTCTCTACTTATTGACATAGTTAGTTTCCAAAGATCAGGTTATTATGCAAAAATAGTCATTATACAAAAATGGAAGATGTCCACATCAGATCACAAAATGGAGGATGATTGAATCATTACATAACTGCCAAATTTCATCACTGCATAACTGCCAAACTACTGAGAATCATGGCCTAGCCAAATTAACAAATAACCTTAACCATCATAGCCAGTTACTCTCACCTTGCATCTTGATATTTGTTACTGTCAGATTACAAAAATAACCAGATAGTAGATTTTTTTTTTACTATTGCTGTATATGTGAAATATTGGATAACAAGATAGTCAATAAGTGAGGAGTAGGTGTATAAACATATAGTCCCAAGCTGACATTCTGGAGGAACTCTGTATTACATTGTATTTTAGGGCAAATCATGAAAACCTCTGAGTCCTTGGTTTCTCATCTGCAAAATGGTAATATTGACATCTAACCTCCTAAAATGATCATGGGACTAATATGAGTTTAACAGATGTGTAAGTGCTGAGCAATGTCCATTATATTATCATACCCAAGTATGAATTTCCAATTACCCTTTCTGAACATAACCAATTAACCAGCTGCCATCGAGTTGATTCTAACTCATGGTTACACCACATATATCACAGTATAACTACAGTCAATGGGGTTTTCAATGGCTGATTTTTTGGAAGGAGATTGCCAGGCCTTTCTTCTGAGGCACCTCTGGGTGGAAATGAACTTCAGGTCAGTTAGCAATCAAGTATGCTAACCATCTGCATCACAAAGGGACTCTTAAAAATACCTATGTACAAAATAGAATTCAGGTCTGTGAATTTGTGATTGTCTGATTTTCTCCTAAAATATAACTTGTCCAGCATATCATCTGAATGCTACAGAAGAGAAAAGGCAAGGTTTGGCTCCAAACCCCTTCACATTGTGATTCCACTCTGGCCAGCCTCTTTCACACAGACATCTCTAAAGATGGAAAATGAAATCTAAAGCAGGCGATCATGAATGTCTGCCTGGCAAAGACCAAGGCTCAATTTCTAGAGCAGGCTATGAGTCTATTAAGCCTTGCCCTCTTTGGTAAAACTCCTGTGTGAGTTATCAGGAAGACAGTCTGGTTGTGGCCAAGAGGCTGTACTCTGGAGAAAGGCTGATCTGATCAAATCCTGGCTCTGCTGATCACCAGTTATGTGGATTACTTAACCTGAATATTTGAAGATAAATGAAAGCCCACTAGCCATGTACTTCATGGGGTGGTTGGGAATCTTAAAATGGGAAAGTAGACATAAGTATAGGGCACAA